CAAGAGAGTATGGGTGTAACTCAGGCCTTTTTAACTTCAGAGGTATAGTCTTGATCATTCTTACCGCTCCTTATATAGACACTAAAGGCCTGGTGCATGAAATTCGTGCACTTAGGGTGGGGGAAAGTCCCTCAGCACGGCCTGCGCCCTCTCAATTTGGGAACCCTCGGGATGTCTAACTGATGGCTTAGGCCTGGACATCTGGCAGTGGGATATCCTTAGTGCTGCCACAGAGGCAGGTGAGGCTTCCACCACTGCTGCTGTGCTCCCCAGCTGTGAGCCGGGCTTCTGGCTGAGCAGCACTCCCCCTGTGGGAGGGCACTGACCATCTGGAGGCAGCTCCTGCATTGAGCGTCTGCCTCCTGGTGGTCAGTGCACGTCATAGCGACCAATCATTCCCCAGTTTGGTCATTTGCATATTAGCCTTTTATTATATAGGATGGCTGAAAGGATTGCTGCATAACATACATTCTTCTCATCCAGTTCCTTCAGCTTTGAATGATCTTTGTGCCCTTCTCTTAATCAGTGCCATAACTTCTAAGCTGAGCTTTTACTTTCTCAGGGAAGCCTTCCTTGACCCACTTTGGCCCTCCCCTCTCCTCTGTGTTATTGACTATCATATCCCCACAAACCACTTAATTGGCACTTTCCACAATTGTAGCTTTATATTTGTGAGTGCAAGATTATTTGATGGATAGTTACTTTCCTTTTAAATTGTAAATTTTGTGAAGACAGTGACTTTATTTTTGCTTAGCATGGTATTATAAATATTCAGTGCCAAAATATTGGGCACTCGTTAGTAGAATGAATGAAAGGAAAGTCTGTCTTTGCCATTGTATTCACTGCTGATAATCTGTCATTCTTTTATAAACCACAGAATAATTAGCAATTTTAATGGAGAATCAGCTATGTTTTAGCTCTTATTAATCAATAAACTATATAAATTGTAAGGATTATAAATATTGTCAGTGATACACAGTCATTTAATTTCTGAAAGAGTTTTAGTAAACAGTAGTTTATACTGTCAAAAATTGAATTTCCATGGTTTTTCAGAAATACACATGAAAATTATTATGACTTGGAGGTACACATTTTCAGAAAGTGAAATGTTTTATATATTTTTCCTTTCTAGTGTTGAAGGGCTTCATGCTATTGTTGTGTCAGACAGAGACGGTGTGCCTGTTATTAAAGGTAAAACTGAGAACTTAACATGCCGGTGTCTTTTTTTGCTTTAGAATAAAGATGTACTTACATCCAAGTAGTACAGAAGCAAGCATATGAAACCCATTTCAGAAAATTTAGGAGAAGGTCTTTGGGGGGAAATGTTTGCTTTTGTTTGTTGAAGGCTGTATTGAAACTTATAACTTATGCCGAGACTGGTTTGGCTCAATGGATAGAGCGTTGGCTTGGGGACTGAAGGGTCCCGGGTTCGATTCCGGTCAGGGGCATGTACCTTGGTTGCGGGCATATCCCCAGTGGGGGGTGTGCAAGAGGCAGCTGGTCGATGATAACTCTCTCTGTCATCGATGTTTCTGGCTCTCTCTCTCTCCCTTCCTCTCTGTACAAAATCAATAAAATATATTTAAAAAAAAAAAAAAGAAACTTATAACTTATTACATGTTAAATGTATTGTGTTGTCATTCAGCATGGATTTAATGACAGGCCCAATTTTCCATTAAAGACATATCATGGTATAATATAAATCAAGCATGTCAAACTTGTGGCCCACAACGAATATTATTTTGGCCCAGCCAATATAACGTTATGTAAGAAAGGTTTTAATAAAAATTTCATAACTTAATTTTTACAATATCCTGTTATACATAATTATTAATAACAAACTACAATGTTCGCTAATGACTGATTACTATAATCGTATTGCATTCATTTCCTTTACACGCCTTATGCGTATCATATTAGCAGCGAATATTTTAGTAGCCAATTGCCACATCATTATTTGGTATGCACAACAGGGAAATATTTCACTTTCGGAGAACAAGACAAATAGGTTTTATTTGCATTATACTTTTTATAATGTGCATTATACTTATTATAATTGTGCAGTTATTCAACGTCTGGTAAGTTAATGAATGTTCAAGAAAAAATAATTTTTATTAAAATGTTCTATTTTATGTTAACGATTACTCGTTTACTTCAGTCCTTTGTATTCAGCATGTCTTTGTCGAAATAAATCTATGTTTCTATGAAAATTGAAGCTTTTGTTTTTTTGCAGCGCACATAAACTTAAACCTTGTTTATTTGTTTATTTGGCGTGTGTTAGCCTTTGAGTTTGACCTGCTTGATATAAACCATTAGTAATTCTTAAGTGATGAGGCTGGGCATGTATGCAGCTAGATATATTATACATAAAGACTCCTGCCCTCCCCCCCAATATATATTTTTATCAGTAGTTTTAGGATAAACATTCATATGTTTGAATCACATACTTTTGGTTGTTTTTGTTTAATCTTTCTTGGTTCTGTACTTCTTTACTGGAAATAAGATTTTTAAAACTTTTTAAAAATTTCACAAAACTTTTAGTTAACCAGAATTTAACAAGAATTTTTTACCTAAAGAAAATCTGACTAACCTAAAAAGAGAACTTTTTACCTAATTTAAGCCTTTTTTTAATGTATATGCTGTCACAGTTACTATATATTAAGAACATTTTACTACTCTTTCTTGTATCATCAATGGATGGGTATAGTTATACTAGGACTCTGTAATAGCTTTACCAAAGAAAGTAAATAATGCTCTAAACATTTTATTGCCAATTTATTACCTGGGTTTATCATACATGTCAGGTAATTTTAGACTTGAGTTAAAGGAAGTTTATTTCATTGTTTTATAAATGAATATTGTCAAGTACAATACATTGTTCCTAAGTTGCAATGTGAGTCAGTGACAAAATAATATTAGAACCCATTATTTCCTGATGTGGCCCATTGTGCTTTCTAACTTACTATAAAACATAGGTGTCTATGGGCAAGTCACTTGTCTTTTCTTAGTTCTGTAATGAAGGCTGTAAACAAAATAATATTCTGTCTGAGGATCTCTGTGTTAAAGCTTTACACTTGCACAACTAACTCCCTGACTTAATGAGTGAAGGAAAAAGTTGGCCAGCTGCAAAATAACAACAATAAACAATATTACTATGGGTTTTATGAGAGCAAAGTTTTTCGACACTTTTTTAAAATTCTAGTTTGGCTGTCAGTTAATGAGAATATTCAGTTTATTATCAGGTCTAGTAATAATTAATGTCGTTTTTAAACATTCGTTTAAAATCTTGCTTGGTGTTGACTTGTATTGACATAACCTTCAAACACGTGGTATCTACAGAACGTGTGAAGTGCAATTAACAAGTTTTGCTTGAAAAAGTTTGTGTTTGGTTTGGTTTTTGTTGCAAAACTAGGGCTAAGAAGATGGCGGATGAAGAGCATATTCGGCACTGCATGCTTTACGAGTTCCAATTAGGAAGAAAAGCAAGTGAGGCTGCAAAAAACATCTGTAGTGCTCTTGGTCAAGGTGCAGTTAGCACCAGAAAATGCCAGCGTTGGTTTGAGAAATTTCGCGAGGGAAATTTTTCGTTAGATGACAAGAGTGGTCGAGGCCGTGTGTCCAATTTTGATCAAGAAGCTCTTCAAGCTCTTTTGGTGCAAAATCCTCAAATTACCCAACAAGAGCTTGCGACAACTTTAAATTGTTCACAAAAAACAATTTCCAATCAATTGCGTGCACGTGGCAAAGTCCAAAAGTTTGGAAAATGGGTTCCTCATGAGTTGACCGCCAACAACCATAATCAAAGAGTCACAATTTGCAGTTCGCTCCTCTCTCGTCAAAACCGTTTGCCGTTTTTAGAGCAAATTGTTACCGGAGATGAACAATGGGTGCTGTATGTTAATTTGAAAAGGCGGCCTCAATGGTTGGACAAAAATGAGGCTCCGCAACCCACGCCAAAACCTGACTTGCATGCGAAAAAAGTGATGTTGTGTTTTTGGTGGAATTTTAAAGGAATTCTTCATTATGAACTTTTACCATCTACCCAAAGCATTACAAGTGCAGTGTATAGTGCCCAATTGGAAAGGTTAGCCCAAGCTTTAAGAGAAAAAGAACCCGCACTGATTCGGAAGGGCGTAATTCTTCACCACGATAACGCACGACCGCATACTGCAAGAATCACTGCTGAAAAACTGCGCCAGTTGGAATGGGAAGTTCTCCCTCAACCTGCATATTCTGATATTGCCCCTTCCGATTACCATTTGTTTCGTTCTTTGCAAAACTTTCTTCTTGGAAAAAAATTTAATAATGAAGAATGCCTCAAAAATACATTGACCGAATTTTTTGCATCAAAATCACAAGAATTTTACAACAGAGGGATTAAAATGCTTCCTGAGCGTTGGGCACAAGTAGTAGAAAACAACGGCAACTATATTGTTGATTAAATTTTGTTATATTGTTTAAATAAATTCGATTTTAAAAAGTATTAGAAAACGACATTAATTATTACTAGACCTAATGTACCGATTTCGCTGTCTGGGTACTTACGTTAATTAGAACGGCTTCCCGAAACGTGGATTTGATCTACAGTCAGGTCACATAAAGAAGCAACCAATGAATGCATAAATAAGTGAAACAACAGTTTGAGGTACCTCTCTCTCCCCTTCCTTCCAAAATCAGTCACTCAATAAAATATATAAGTGTACTGATTAATCTGGGTTTTAAGGTAGGTTGATATTAAAGAAATATAAACATTTAATATTTTTTTAAAAATAAAAAAATATTGTGAGAGTCATCATTTGTTCCCTTAGCTATGATCGCTCACTCACATCTCAGTAATTTTTCACACCTAAATTAATGAGACCTAGTTAGTAATGTGATTTTAAATATTGGAAACAACTCTTATGTTTGATATTTTTACACATATATGTCTTAAAAAGGTGCTGCAAATCTTTCTACCATGTCCACTGCATAATTTTTACTTAAATCATTTGTATTTCCAGTGGCCAATGATAATGCTCCAGAGCATGCTTTGAGACCTGGTTTCTTATCTACTTTTGCCCTTGCAACAGACCAAGGGAGCAAACTTGGACTTTCAAAAAATAAAAGTATCATCTGTTACTATAATACCTACCAGGTAAGTTCATAACTATCGAATGGTTTGCTGATTTCAACTATTACTATGTTTTCTATATAAAATAGCTTGTGCTATCATTTTCAATTTGAGTTTTGAAAGGGGTGGGATTTCAAGATCGTAGCCTTCAAAAGGGTTATGTTTCACAGAAGTGATTTTCTTCAAATTTGACACCAGGAATTAATTACTATGGGAAGTAATTAAAAAGATGTAATAATAAAGTACATGTTATCCTGGAAAGGGTAATTCAGGTCACTCTTATCTCCAGTAGATGGTGCCCTTAGCTTAATAATTGTGATTTCTCAAATGACACTTATGTTGTTGGTGACAGATAACAATTTCTCTTGAAAGTCAAATGATAAGTTATTTAAATTTATTATTTTAGTTAATTCCTTCATTTGGTTTGGGATATATATATATACATATGGAAAATATACAATTATATATAAGGTGTCCCAAGAAAGGTATACACACACTTCGAAAAAATGTAAAGGCATTGTTTATTAAAATACATTTTATTTTCAAAATTGAACTATCAACAGTTAAAATATGCATACATATTTGGGGGGACACTCTGTATATAAGTGAAGTTATTAATTGTGAGAAATTAGTTGCTACATATTTCTTGATCTCCAGCTACATTTTCTTTAGAATAAATTAATCACTTATATGATTAATTTGAGTGATGCTTACCAAAGTATGACTTATGTACTACTGATGATACACAGTTAACATCTTTTAATTTTAAAAGTTGTGTATTTTAATGTATATTGGTAAACAAATAACCCATCTGGCCTTTAACTTGATTGATAAGGATTAGATTGAAGCTAAGTTAAAGATAGTTGATTTAAAGTTAATTTAAATTTGTTTAAATTATAGTAGTACATAGGAGGCAGAAAAATCATGAAGATACAGCTTCTGGGATAAATACTTCCTTTAGCCATTTAATTATTAAATTTTTATTGAGCTCCTACTATGTAATTGATACTCTGCTGGTCTTTGAGATAAAAAAATGAAGACACAGTCCCACCTTAAAAACTTTCTAGGCTAAATGGTGTCTCTAAGAGATACTCAGTAACTCTGTTTCATGGAAATATTTATTTTCATCTCTTTCATATTTCATGAGATAATACCGTAATACTGGGCTATTTACACATTGATCATTTAAAGGTTTTTTGAAAGATTAAGATAATTCATTGAATTATACTGTCTTTTCACAATACAACGTAATATTTAGATCTTTTCTTTTTAGGTGGTTCAGTTTAATCGTCTACCTTTGGTGGTGAGTTTCATAGCCAGCAGCAATGCCAATACAGGTGTGTTTTAATTACCTTAAATGCAGCTTTAAAAAATATATATTGATTTCAGAGAGGAAGGGAGAGGGAGAGAAATATAGAAATATCAATGATGAGAGAATCATTGATTGGCTGCCTTCTATTAAATACATCTTTTTGTTTATGATACTGTTTCTGATAGGATTAGTAGATTTAGGGTTAAAAAAAAATCTGAATTTGTGGGCAAGGTCTTTGCCTCTGAAAAAATAAATTCTCTGTTTTCCATATTTGTATAATGGAGCTAATATCTGCTTGTGTAGGTAAGTTATCCTTTAAGATAAAAAGAAAATTAAATGTTATCTTTACCACTTGAATGCTATGTCTTGCTCACATTAAAAGACCTTTAGAAAACAAAAAGAGAGTAGAGAGCCAAACAAAAATAAGATGTCAAGGATGAGTTAAGTTCCATATAGACCAATCTATTAGAATTTTAAAAGTCTTGGACTATAGTGAACAAGATGACTATGAGGATTGTGAATAGGGTGAACATAATCACATTCTTCCTGAGGGTTGAGGAATTGAGAACAAACACTAGAAAGCCATATTTTCCACAGAGGATAGTAAGATCCCATTATACCCAGAAGCCCTCACTGAGTATTTATGTGTAAAATAACAGTAGTTGAATTGTATATTTTTTACTCCCTTTGGATAAAGTGGTTTGTTTGTTTTAGGGTCTTTTTCAGATTTGACCACTGTTTAGAATTGTTAGAGCAAATTCTGTTTCTGTCTATGTCACTGAAGCCAGTCCTTAGATTTCTGGTCTTTAAAATGAAGGGTTTAGATTTGATGATCTATTAGTTCTCTTCCATTTCTAATCTATGGAAGCTGTAAAATATATATGTGAAAACACTGTAAATTATACAGGGGTGGGCAAAAGTATGTTTATAGTTGTAATACAAATAATACAATAATTAATAAATAATACAAGAATGAACTCTTATTTCATATACTCACAACTATAAACCTACGTTTGCTCTCCCATGTATAGGATAGTGGTATCAATATTTTAAGTATATTAAATAGTAATTGTGATAAATCACATACTAACTCATTAATTGTTAAAAATTATGATGTTGTACAGAATTATATTTTAGTACCTAGAACATTTCCTTGAGAATCCCAGATGCTTTTAATATTCTGTGATAAAGGAGATTCATATTTATCTTATAATACTAAAAGCATAATATGCTTATTAGACCGGACAACTTTCTGGACGAAGCCAGGGCTGAGAGGGCTTAGGTAGCCGCTGCAGTGGACAGAGGCAGAGGCGAGGACGTGGCTGCCACAGAGGCGGGAACCAAGGCAGAAGCCCCTGGCCACCGCGACAGCGGGGACAGTGGGTGGGGCCGTGGCAGGGGCCAAGCCCCTTGCATGACTTTTGATATAAAATGAGCAGTGTCTACAATATGTAGCCTTACACTCTGGTAAATGAAGGAGAAGCTAGACATGCTATTATTAGACTAAGTTGTCTTCCAGATTCATCATTGAACTTTCTTTTAAACATGGAAGAAAGTTCATCATGAATATGAGTTTTTTTGGTTAATTTACTTAGAATATTTTGCTTTAGTTATAGGAAATAAACTATATCTCATTTACTTTTTACTTTTTAGTAATAATTTCAACCAAAGGGAATTTAAGTCGAAGACTTTTTTCATGAACATTTTTTCTAAGGTTCTAATTTTTCTTCTTCTCTTTGTTTTAGGACTAATTGTCAGCTTAGAAAAGGAACTTGCTCCATTATTTGAAGAATTGAGACAAGTTGTAGAAGTTTCTTAACCTGACTGTGGTTTTAATGTCTACCTTATCTTCATTATAACAGATATCAATCTAGCAATCTCGAGACCACAACATACTTATATCCATGTACCCAAAAAAGGGTCCCTTTTTTACCTTGTACTAAAAATTTATGGACAAATTGTTGTCTTTTCTTGTACAGGTGTTATTCACTGAGATCTGGGGATACCACAGAAATGGTTCTGTCTGTCACAGCTCCCGTGGAGTTAGTCCATCCCCAAATCTGCATGAGAGTCTCTTGGGTGGGTCGGAATCAAAATGGTCCTTTGACCCACTTGAGCCATGAAGTGTTCCCCCTTGTACATTCTGCCAGGCCTGCAGATAGAAGCAGATCTATTTTATTGTGAATAATAATGACATATTTTTTTCATATTGTTTTCTTTGCATTAAGTGTGGGGACATAAAATGGCTTAGTAAAAGTAATAAAATCAGTACAATCACAACTTTCTTGTGTATATGAATATATATTATTTTGTAATATAAATGAATATTACAAATTGATTTGATTCTTCTCAGAGGGTGCTGCTGTTCAATAAAAATGATAGCTAATGGTTTTCCACCCACTGCTTCCTATAACAAATCAGTGTTTTAATGTTTGTGCATTGTTCGTAAAATTTAGATATGATTCATTATTGAACTCTGTTCCCAATATTGACACATATATAAACATGATAATACAGCCATTTTTTTCAATACATGAGTAAAATTATATTTTTAAAAGTATAGTTTGAACACTATAGTTTCAAAAGTTTAAAGATATAATTACTTAATTCACTCTTTTTAACCACATGAATAAGTAGTGAGTGTTTCTTGTGGATATTCATTTGGAGATAGTTTTATGTGGCATAAACTGTCAGTAGAAAAACAAATATTCATGATCCTAATTTAATCTATGAAATTGGTATCATATTTCTAGAATTTGCCCTTTATATTCAGGAATTCACAGTGGTTAATTTCCTCCTGGGTTCTTTGACAATCAGTTTGTCCTGGTACAGTTCAGTACACATGCATTGAAAATCTGTTGCCATTCACAGAACTACCACATTGTAGAACTCTTAAGGAGCACAGTTCACATATTTCCCTGCTCCAGGGATGCATTTTACATGGAATGTGCAAATGTAGTCCTTGAGTTGTGGAGTGAGGTAGTGGGCCAGGCCTCACTCCCTCTCCCTCCTTAAATCCTGTACAAAAATGAGACTAAATTGTGGTACCTACCTTTAAAGAACTTATTGGTCAGTAAATGAAACAGATACCGGTATCTGAAATGCTGTGATAAAGGATACTATAGAAACAAAATAGGGGTATTTATTTATTTAGCATTAGATTCTGCTTTATTTTGAGAGAATAGGGGCATTTGAATTGGGCAAGAACAAAAGTCTTTTCAAAGAAGTAGAAGCAAGAGAGATGCTTTAACTGCAGGGAACTATACATAGTTAATTGTTACACTCCAATGAAGTATTAGACACACCAATTATAATCCAGAATTGCCATTATCTGGATTATTGATGTCCAGGAAATTTTTGCCAGTGCAATGATTCATAAAACAAGAAGGTGTTTTATAAATGAGGTGGCACATTTTAATTGCAGATAATAAGTATGCATCTAAAAACCTCAGAGAAGATAAGTGGTAATACTTAACCTCTGCATGGCAAATACTGCTATTACAATTTTTACTTGAAGGGGTATAATAAATTATTCTATAGTTCATCTGGAAAAATAAGGTGAAAATCTCTAAGTTTTGAAAAGGCAGTATAAAACTAAGGTACACAGCTGGACAGATCAATGGAACAGACTAACCTAGGAACAGGCTTTAGAACATACCGCATTTTCTCCTGTATAAGACGCCCCCCACTTTTCCAACCCAAAATTAAGAAATATTTTATTTTTATTTTTTAAAACATTGATATTTTTACAGAGAGGAAGAGAGAGGGATAGAAAAATTGATCAGCTGCCTCCTGCACACCCCCTACCAGGGAAGTGCCCGCAACTAAGGTACATGCCCTTGACCAGAATTGAACCCAGGACCCTTCAGTCTGCAGGCCGACGCTCTATCCACTGAGCCAAACGGGTCAGGGCAAGAAATCAATATTTAAACAGAAAACAAAACACATTTTTATTTAGTAATTACTGCAGGTAATGTTTATATACCAGTACTATGATATGCAGGATATCATTTTATTCAGCCTCTGTTACATCACTGCTCTCTTCTTCACAATTAGTTCCAGATATATCAATTTCTTCAACTTCTATTGTATCACTGCTGTCCTCTGAGTCACTGTGAGATCATCCTCATAAACTCCTGACATTTTCTGAGCTAACTTTGTGTTCTCATGGCCAACCTTTCTCTCCTCATGAAAGCACCATTTTGCCTTTCCTGTAAAATTCAACAATGTTCATTTCACTTGAAACATTCTTGCCTGATCTTGAATAAGCTTAGCAGACACACATAAGCCACTTTGGCGCTGCTCCATAACCCAAGTCTTCAGCCTCTGCTGCCAGTTTGCCCATTTTGCTGGTTTTCCCTGTAAGGCCTTCTTTTTTGGCATCTTAAAGTACTGTTCTTCCTGTTTTCTCCACTGTCTGATCAGACACTCAGTGGGAAGAGGTCCAAATTGTCTATCTGCAACTCTGTTCCCATGTTCTTTTGCATCAATGATTACATTCAGTTTGAATTTTGCAGAGTTAAGACAATTGCTTATCTGTATTTATCTTTTTATTTTTTGACATCTTTATGGTCTCAGAACACGCTGATGCTTGTGGCACTCTCCACCTCCAATTACGGCATCAGCTGATATCAATAACAATAAGGCTGGTGATTGGAGGAAGCCTGTTTCACAAGGGGTGGGCAGCTACACACCTGCGCGGCTCCCTCAGTTTTCAGTCTAACGATTTTAGAAAAAAATGCATCTTATACACAGAAAAATACGATACGTATGAGAACTTAAAGGGTGACATCTTACGTCAATGGGGAAATGAATATTCAATAGTAGGACAGGCATTTTTTCATACTATGTTTATAGAATTGTTGTGCCTCTTTATGAGGGACAATCGGGCAATCTCTCAAACTTTCAAATACTAGGATTCTCCAGAGAAACAACCTTCAGACACAAAATAATGTTTAATTTGGGTATTCCAGGGCCAGTCGGGTTGACACAAAATTAACCTTTATACCCAACAATTCCACTTCGAGGTGTTTATCCTACTGACACAGGGACATGCACAATATAAGCAGGCCCTTAACTTTTTGTTGGAGTTATTTCCTACCCTCAGACACACAGATGTCTTACAAATAAGCCTTGAGTACTTGGTACTTCTTATTTCCTATGTCCAAACAACATGATGACATGAATGCAGTGGACCAATGTGAGAGAGTCTTGTGGAAAGAAAGGTGGTCAGGGTCTGCATGGACTAAATCACAACATAGGGCTGGAGAACTGATCAACCTCTGAGATAGGAAAGTGAAGGTGTATTGCTGGCCTTGCCATATGAACAGCCTCTGGTGCCCTTTACTACTAAATATCAAGAAAAGAGGGGGAAATTTTTGATCAGTTGCCAGATCAACAATTGCTGTATACCAGGTATCGGGGGTGGGGGGGAAGGGTAGGGGGGTGTTCATTTGTTCAAGCAATGGAATCACATCTGGGACAGCTGCAATTGGAGTCACTCCCTGGTTCAATTTGTCATCATCCACTGTCATGCTCCAGGAGCCATCTATTTTCTGCACAGGCCAAATAGGCACGCAGAATGAGGATGTGGGATCCCTATCCTTGCATCCTCTAGCCTTTGATGGTGGCACTAATCTCTGAAATCCCTTCATTGCTTTTGGTTTACTATCTTTCTATGTAAAGGCAGTTGCAGTGGTCTACATTTGTCCTTCCTAGCTATGATAGCCCCCATGCCATGGCTCAGAAAAACCAACGTGGGTATTTTGCCAGTTGCTGCATATGCCTTTACCAATGTTGCTTTCTGGAACTAGGGCAATGACCACAGGTTCTCGAACCCACTGGACCGCTTCTCTGGTTCCATCCTTGTTGCTTCTATGGAAAAATCCAGTCCCTCTTAAACGCCGGCCAGATGTTTCTGCGAGTCCCCATTGGGCCCTTTACAGGTACTCCTGAAACCAGTGTTTGCAGGTACCACATGGCACCTGTCAATTTCATTTGCTCTTGTTTCTATTCTCTGAGCTTTGTCCCCCAACCTTGGCCATTGCTGCTGCTGCTGCTGACAGAGACAAGGACGCCTGGAGGCAGCTGAAGGCTAAGGATGTCATCTTCACGACTGTAAATGGGACACAATGTCAGTATGTCCCTTGAGACTAGTGAGAAAACGTCTTTAGGTTTTGCTAAGCACCTGAGTAGTAGACAAGAAGTGCTCAGATTCACCCTATCACAGATGTCCATAATTCATCAATAAGACATGCTCCTCAACCCTCTCTGCCTTCAGGTGAATCCTTTCTCAAGAAGGCTTTTGGTTCCTTTTTCCTGCCAGTCTTTTAGACCAGAGCTCCTCAAAATGTGGCCTGCAGACTGGGCTGTTCTGTCCATTAGCAGTATGTGTCGAGTATAGAAATCAAGAGCTGTAAAATCTTTCAGCAATTTGACATAGTGACTTTATGTCTGTGGAACCTGATAATAAAATGGGGATTATGATATGTGTATTTTTTACTTCCTTTTCCTAACAATGTATTTTTATTGGATTTTATAAAATTCCAATCTGAAATTAAAGGGGGTGGGGGGAGGAGGGGTGGCAGATCTGATCCTTCACCATAGATGATCTAGAAAACTGCTTGACGCCATGCCCTGGCAGCCTGAATCTGTAGTGAGCAGGGTGGCCTCAAGCCTGGAAGTCCTCTGTGTACTGTACTTGCTCAGGTGAGCATCTAAGAACCTGGTCTCTCATGTGCCACGTGGGCGGGAAGAGAAGGGCTCCAGCCTACTGACTGCTCCCATGTCCTGTGGCTCTGGAGCAGGGGGGCAGGGTTTCCTCCATGGCAGTAATAGCCATCCCCACACGGGTGACTCTCCTGGTCAGGAGGGAACATTGCTTCTGTAGGCAAGATACTCTCAGGGGAATTCAGAGAATACAGCAGACCCCCTTTATTCACGGTCATAGTTTCTGGGATTTCAGTTAACTGTAGTCAATCATGGTTTGAAAATATTAAATGAAAATACCAAATATTTTGAAAGGGAGAGAGACCATACTCATGACTTTTATTACAATGTATTATTATAATTGTCCTATTTTGTTATTATTACTAGAGTCGTGGTGCATGAAATTTGTGCATGGAGGAGAGGGTGTCCTGTAGCCCAATCTGCAACCTCTCCAATCTGGGACTCCTTGAGGGATGTTGACAGCCAGTTTAGGCCCAATCCTGGTGGGACCGGGCCTAAATGGGCAGTCAGACATCCCTCTCACAATCCAGGACTGCTGGCTCCCAACCGCTCCCCTGCCTGCCTTCCTGGTTGCCCCTAACTGCTTCTGCCTGCCAGCCTGATCACCCCCCTAACCACTTCCTTGCCAGCCTGATGCCTAACTGCTACCCTGCCAACCAGTTTGCCCCTAACTTCCCTCCCCTGAAGGCCTGGTTAGCCCTAAGTGCCCTCCCCTGCAGGCCTGGGTCCCACCCAACTGCTCTTCCCTTGAGGTCTGGTCACCCCCAACTTCCCTCCTCTGCCAGTCTGGTCACCTCTAACTGCCCTCCACTGCAGGCTTGATTGCCCCCAACTGCCCTCCCTTGCAGGCCTGGTTCCTTCCAACTGTCCTGCTTGTTAGCCTGATCATCCACAACTGCCCTCCCTTCAGTCCTGGTTCCTCTCCACTGCCCTCCCCTGCTGGCCATCTTGTGGTGGCCATCTTGTGTCCACATGGGGGCAGGATCTTTGACCACATGGGGGCAGCTACCTTGTGTGTTGGAGTGATGGTCAATCTGCATATTACTCTTTTATTAGATAGGATAGAGGCCTGGTGCATGGGTGGGGGCCAGCTGGTTTGCCTTGAAGGGTGTCCTGGATCAGGGTAGGGGTTCCCTTGGGGTGTGGGGTAGCTTGGGCGAGGAACCCCTTGGGGTGTTGTGGTTTGAAGGCCAGCCATACCCCCTGGCGACCAAAGCAGAGGCCCTGGTATCTGGGATTTATTTACCTTCTACAATTAAAACTTTGTAGCCTGGAGCGGAGCCACGCCTCCTGCTTGCTCTGTGGCTGCAGCCATTTCTGTTTGTATTTATGTATCTTCTATCATTGAAACTTTGTAGCCTTGAGTGGAGGCCTAGGCCAGCAACGGTAGGTGGAAAGCTTGGCTTCCTCTGTTGCTGGGGAAACCCAAGCCTCCCTCCTTCTCTCTGTGGCTGTAACCATCTTGGTTGGGTTTATTTGCATACTTGTTCTGATTGGCTGGTGGGCATGGCTTGTGGGTATAGCAGAGGTATGATAAATTTGCATATTACTCTTATTAGATAGGATTGTAAATCTCTTACTATGCCTAATTTATAAATTAAATTTTATCATAGTTATGTATGTATAGGAAATTTACACGGTTTGGTACTACTGGAATCTGCAGTTTCAGGCATGCACTGGGGGTCCTGGATCATATTCCTTCAGAATCAGGGGCACTACTGTGTGTCTTAACACATTGCAGACCAGCAGTTTTATTGCTAGCTTTACCCAGTGGCCAGACAAGTCTCTATCTAATGAGTACAAAAAACATTTTACTTAAATGTTAAAGGCACACTTTAAAATTAAGTACCCATTGCATTTTGAAATTATTTATTACATGTTCTTACAAGTTAATATCTTTTTAAAGTATGATACTTAGTAAAACATTGTGTAGCATGAGGCAAGAATTCTCGTGATCCGTCCGCAATGTGTGATGAAGTACGGCGTTGGTGATAACCACATACCTGAGAGCACACATGGCCTGACACAGACACACTGCTGGTGCTTCTCCAGAACAGCCTCACTCAGATTTGCCATTGGCACACAATATTCTCCCTTACTGGGACTTGTAGAGAGAGCTGAGGGCCTCCTCTCAGGAGGTGCAATCATGGCCACTTTTCAGGGCTGCTGACAGGTAAAGCATCTAGGACGGTTCTAATGACATAGTAGATATATGTTAGCTCACCTTTTTTATGTCAAACCCTCAACAAAAAAAAAAGGCTATATCCCCACTGCAGCACACTCTCCATCATAGAGCATTGTGTGCTTCACCTGCAGTATTTACCTTCTGTACTTCTATGTTATCATGTATTTATTATCTTTTCCACATTTAACTAAGAAATCCTTGAAGTCCCAGACTACTTCTTCAACTTAGAATCCTTTGGAGCTCATAGTCTAAGCGATATGGATGCTTCATTGCTATTTATGATATTGATCAGTTGAATCTAAGTTACAGATATTAAAAACATTTTAATGGCAAAATAACAAACACAGGGAAGCATGTTCTTTTTAATAAACATAACCAAAGAATATAAATAAACATGAGATATTTTACAATAGGTAAAAAATGACATCGCCTACACAAAGAAACACCCTTGGTTCTGAGAAAACAAAACATAAAATCACACATCTCAGTAAGGATTCATTTGTAACTCCTTACTTTGCAAATGTAACATAATACCTTGTAACTTGACATTTGCTTTATCCAATATGATATAAACATTACAAAATATACTAAACATCTTTTTTAAATATACAAAACTTCCTGAGTCCTAGAAACTTAAATTAACAGAAAAGCTAATTTACCACGTTGTTCCTTTGAACTGAAAGAGCATTTTATAGCTTTGCACCATAATCTTTGTGTTTGGGGGTTCTTCCTCTACTTCCCCTCCCTTCAAACTTCTAGCTAAAAAAAAAGCGGGGGGGGGGGGGAGGAGTATTAAGAAAGATAAAAAAATCTATGAGCTTTGGATGACAGTATTGTATTCCCCTATTTCAATCTTCTTATGCTAGTCTGAAAATGCTATGTAACAAACACGCTATTATGCATTGCATGTGGACTTAGTATTCCTCCCTCAACTGACAACAGAAGTTGCCCTTGAATAAGGCGCAGGATGCTCAGGCATCTCAGTGCCGGGTGATTCTTACTTCTCTTGGGCCAACACCTACAGTCTACTCTGGGGAAGGGACTGTTGTAGCACACTTTTCTTGAGAAAGCCCTTGCAGTCTGTTAGGAGAAATGTTGGATGAAGATACCTTAGTGCTCACATGTGCTCTATTGTTGCTAGAATAATAACTAGAAAACTATTATCATTAAACTATGTCATCTGCTACGTTATTAACCTTCCTCTTTTTTGTTTTCTCACTCTTGAAAACATTTTCTCCAAAATGGTTAAAGGATATTTTTTAGATTATACCTTCCTTTATGGTTCTGTCTAATCATCCATAAGACAAAGTTCTCACAGGTTTATCATTAGAAGGGAAGAAAGAGCTCACCAGATTCTGAGCCTTTTACAAAGAGACAATAAATACTGCAAACATTATCTATTACAGTTTTGGAAATTGTTTTGTTTTATGTATAAAGGGGGGGGGGAGCAGAATAACCTTATTTCCCCCTGCCCAACCCAATCTTTGATGTTTACCATCTCAATATACTTTCTAAAGAGGCAGCTGAGACTCAAAGCAGACAGCTGTTTCCTTCCTGAGTAATAGCACAACCTGGATGTCAGATAAGCTGACCACGACAGAGTGGGACTCGGGCAAACAAAGTCCACAAGCTTGGACCACGATAAGGGAAAACACAAGCCCTGTCTCTTCTGTTGTGCATTCTACGAGTAAGCACACTGGGTGTGGCAGCTAGCTGCGCCAGTTTTCATCAGAACAACGGCAACTCGGTATTCTGAAGGAGATGACAACATCTTGAAGGGCAGCAGCTTCCCCTGAGTCAGCAAATGTGGTGTTTTCAGAAAGATCCTGGTCAGCATCTGCTTTTGATTTGTTTTTAAAGAAAAATCCGTAGTCAGCTTTCAGCGGAGGCCTGCTATGGATCACAGCAGTGGCGAGCATGCCACCCTGCTGTCCGGCCAGGGCATCCCCAGGGAAAGGTCTACTTAAAGATGAATGACTGAGATCGGATTGTGCCTTCCCTTTGGTCGAGCTGTTTTCTTATTTGTGACTGTAAAAAAAAAAAATGCACATACATGTGTATGAATTATTGAGCAATTTTACGATAACAAACTCCAGCTTGAACAAATATTAAATAAGACATGCTGATTAGTAAGAAAACCATGCAACTATAAATTAATTATCATGTGCTCCTTCCCCAAGTTTTAATCTTTTTTTTTTTTCCAGGAGAATTATAGTAAAGTGGTCGCTCAAACTTGTGCATATTGGGAATTGGCCTAATATTTATACTTATCCATAAAGTGCAATGCTAGTAAATAAATCCAAAGAAGACAGAGATCTAAAGAATTATTAGATTTTGTTTTAAAATATTTATTGACATAGGGAAAAGTCTGAAGCTATGTGCATTTGATGTATTTTTAACCTTAATTTTTCTATAATGATTATATGTTGCTTTCATAGTTACAAAACTGGAAAAATAAGACATTCATTCATATCTCAGCAAACTTTCCATATGGCAAAGTATTTCCCACTGAATATCAAATACATTAGGACCACCTCAAATGAGTGGTATATTTATTTGGATTTCAAATAGAAAAGATAACCAAACCAAAAGTTCCAGTATCTAGAAAGGAAGTTTCAACAAGATTCTAATTATCAACTAATTTCATAAAAACTTAATTGGGAAAATTTGTTTATGTTGAAAACATCTATGGTTTCAAGATAATATATCTACAGGAAATTTTAGAAAGCTTTAAGGCCAAGTTCTGGGAAAGCAGTTCACTTACTTACAAACACATATGAAAAATGTATGAGATTGATATATTTTTACAAGCATTCCATATTTCCCCTGGGAGGTATATAGGAAGCAGTTAAATCACCTTTTGTCCTTGACCTGGAGAAAGTAATGCTTATGCTGAAAATTAAGCTAAGTACCCAGGGCAAGCTTTCTTCTCTGGCAATTTAAAAGGATTTTCTACTACAAAAATATGTAAACTTTCCTCTTTCTAACCCCCTGGTCCCTTTTGTCCTCCTCCAGGCAAAATTGGCCAAGCCTGCACACTTAGAGGAAGACCGATAGACACGCAGGCACAAGGCAAAGGCTCCGGGGCTGAAACCCCAGTAAAGTCCATCCTTTCTCTTTTTAGTCCTTTCTGCAGCCCTTCCTTGTCCCAAAAGAATAAACAGACTATTCCACAACCTACAGGTAGATATCTCAGTGAGTCTCAGAATTGTCTAATTCTTTCAAAAGAAATATGTCTTAAATCATCACCATGTTATTTCTGAGTACTAGGCACCCCACCCACCATAATTTAACTCACCAGTTTCCAGCGTAATATCTTGATCCACTCATCAGCTTCTACTCCTGTCTTTGCACAGAGGTAAAATGTCCTGAATGGAAATACTAAGCTGATAGGACAAAAGAAAGAAGGTAAGACACTCCAGGTGGTGAGCTGAGTATGTATTAGTTAAACACTAGTTAGAGTACTCCAAGAAAACAAGAACTGACCAAGGGCCTGGGGAAGCAACCTGCTATTCCTGCCAGCACTCTGCAGAAATGTCAAGGGTATTTGACATAAGATTCATGTTATCCTTATGGGCTAGATTTACATTTTTCAATGAGAATTCAAAGAAGGGGAAAATATGTCCAGGACACCCCCATATCCTTTTGTCTTAGACTGAATACAACACTTCCAGGTTTATTCGGCTGATCTGTAAAATTACACAGAACCTGTGCTATGACTCAAAGAACATGCAAGACAGAGAAGAGTTGGAAGAAGGAACTCATTTGGGTTAGCTTGCTTCAATGAGAACCCCCACCCCCACCCCCACCCCCATGGATGTAGGAAGTGTTAGTTATTTAAGACGGGGAGAAAAAGAAAATGAAACTAATTTAGCTAGTCCTTCTTCCCATCTCTGGCCATGAGTTAGTTAGTCTCAGCTGGAGGGAAGATGAACTTTCCTACTATGCACAAAAGACTTGTTCTAATATGTGAGTTTTTCGTTTGATTGTCTCTTTGACTAGAGAGTCAAAATCATTTGACCAATAAGGTCAGCCTTAGCTTACATCTCGCCCATACTCCTGTGCTTACAGCTGAGATGCAAAATACCAAACATCTTTTTCCCTTTCATGGAAAAAAAAAAAAAAGCCTTGTACTTAAATTCAGAATGGTTTCTATATTCTAAAGCCCCAACAGCATATTCTGTTTACACCAGTAATTAATGCTGATTAGATGAAAGGTCAGTTCCTGTGTACAGAAGGTACACCTTGGTGCTAGGTCCAGTTGAGGGGTGGGTGGGCCGTGTGGGGGTGAGGGAATGACATTGTGCACACATTATACAAAACTGGTTTCTGGAATCAGCATTGTTTGGTATTCCCTGTGGGAGACATTATTACTTGGCTATTAATACAGATATTTTCTTTTCTTCTTACCAACAGAATTCCATGGCCATGAGTTAGTTAGATGACAAGTTATAATTAGTGGAAGCCAATTATAATGATGCTAGAACCCTTTTCTTGCTTCCTCTGCTGTCGGCAATAGCCGTGGGACCCAGTCTAGGCCAATGAGATATGAGGGGAAATCTGATAAGAGACTTTCTGGGGAAATACCTGCCTTCCGGATAAAAATGAACAGGCATTGCTGATGCCATCCCTACATCTTCTCTCATGACTTACATAAACTCTGGAGTAGCAAGCATGAGGAAAGGGCCAACAAAACTGTAGAGGCACAGGACCTGACCTTGTCAAGACAGCTGCCTGCCTCCAAGGACTTTGTTATATGAGAAATATAAATCCCTGCTAGCTCATATGATTCCTTTATGCAAATGTTTGAAGACGTCTACTCTTGGTTGGTACTATAGAATTAATGTCAGTTTTCTTAGGTGTGATAATGGCATTGTAGTTGTAGCAGTGACACTTTTATTCTTAGGAGATGCATCTTGAAGTATTTAGGGATCGTGTTCATGGTGTCTGCAATTTACCTTCCATTGGTTCAGGTAAAAATGTGATTCGATGGAGATAAAGCAAGTATGATAAAATGTTAACAATTGATGTATCTAGGTGAGGGATACATGGGCTATACGTCTTTCAACTTTTGTATGCTTGAAAATTTTAAAATAAAAATTGGTGGTAAATGAGATACCTCTTTCTCAAGATACTTGACTTCTTCCAGTTAGAAAATTGTCTTGCTAGACTGATTATGTTAGAACAAAACACTTTTGTGTCATCTCCCAGAAACTGCCATAACAATACAAATAGCCTATCATCGGAGTTAACAAAGTTATAAATGAGGGGAAAACTCTGAAGGAATAAAGCTGTTTAAGGTGAATTTCATCCCCTTATGCCTATCACACTTGGGCAGAGCACAGCCCAATCAAATGTACCGGTCAGACGTGCACGCCTGACAAAAATGCCTTGTGTGTGATGACTACACCCACGCCACCCACATCAAAACCTTTGTACACATTAAGACATAGTTTCTTATTCCTCAGTTAAAACACCTGACAAAGAGACTTTAAAAACATTTCCCTTATAAAATAACTTACCAAAAACAGTTTACTCTTTCCTGTGAGTAATCAAACTGTACAGCTGAACATTCTGTTAAGTCTAGGATCCGAATTGGTTCTGGTGACTTAAAGAAAAAAAAAAGAAAGAAAAGCAACCTAAGTCATCATAAAAAACACAGATCTGTTCATCATTTATTTCCCTAACAAATCCTCCACCGTGTGTAACTGTCAATTTCCCTTTCATCAAGGGGATGGATAATAGAAAACCTACTAAGGGAAGAAACACCATCCTGGTTTGGAAGTTGGCCTACAGAGCACTAAGAGGACATTGATTTACCAATTTTAATTTGATGGAGATGGATTTTAACATATGGAAGGGTGTCATGTTTCTCTTGTGGTTTTAAATTTTACTTTTATTTTTTTAAATATATTTTTGTTGATTTCAGAGAAGAAGAGATAGATACATCAATAATGAGAGAGAATCAATGATCAGCTGCCTCAGGCACTCGCCCTACATGCCCACGACCTGGGCATGTGCCCTTGACCGAAATCAAACTTGGGATCCTCCCATCCGCAGGCCTGTGCTCTATCCACTGAACCAAACCAGTGAGGGTATCTCTTGCGTTTTTAAACTTCTGCTTTCTCAGAAATGTTGTTCTGGGGAAGTGAGTAGAAACAAAATAAATTTAAATTGGTTTAGTGAAATGGATATGGGACCTCAACATACTTTTAATAGAGGGAGAAATCGATGTGAAAGGCAGTTAATACTTTGTGGCAGGAAAGGGATTCTATTGCCCTGGTTTAGCTGGACCCAAAGAGCAGTTCCTGGGACACAAATCTCATCTTTGCCAAAAATAACTTGGCTCATATCAGGAGTCAAGAACTCACCTCTCCACTGGTTTATTAGGTGTTTCAGGTGTTCATAAGGAAAATTTTAGGGATTTTAAAGGCAGATGTTCCTTTCATCTAGAGAGCTGATTTTTAAAGGGAAAATGTATTATTATGTTTCTCACCATTTGGTCCTTGAAGTATTTCAGTTCATTCCTGTGCAAAGTGAACCACCTTGTTTTCCAGGTCTGAGAAAGAAATAATCACATCATGGAGGTTTGGAATACAGAAACACAGTATTTCAACAAGATAATTTCCTTTTGATTAAAAAAAAGTCTAAAAGATTAGATACAAGAAAATATGCTTGTATAGGGTTAGGGTTAGGGTTTTTAAAAAAAGAAAATATTCTTGTGGTGTCATTTCTGATAAAAAGTTTCAAAATACCTACAAAGTTACAATGATTCTGTACATTAAGCTCATAGTAAGGCAAGGATATGTTAGCATATTTAAACAAATAAAAAATAGCTTACTGTAAATATTCAAGGTGTTTTGTAAAAAACACTAATATTTTCATCTTATTAACTCTGTAATAGGAAGAATACATTTCATTTTTTGAGCATCTGCTGCGGCGACATACTATCCTTGAAGGTTTACATATATTACAGCCAATTCTCATACAATGCCAACTATTATTATTCTTGTTTTACAAATATGCAAATTGAGGGTTAGGAACCTCAAACTACACAGCACTCTAAACTTTGCCTAAGAATTCTATAGCATTGATGGCAAAACTGTTGTTCCTCATATCTTTTTGTTTACTAACTGAACCCTAATCTTTTCCTGAGTGCCAAGGTGCCTGGTTACAATGGATTTAAAAATAATGAGTACTTCCTGTCCCCAGGGAGCATCCAGTCCAGTAGGGACACAAATAACTAAATAAATATGTAGGTTCAATTCAAGCAGGGAAGTACCCTTGAGAGTGCCCTGGCTCTTAAAATAGGAAGCGTAGAGATAGTACATGAAGGTCCTCTTGGCACAGTAAAATAAAAGAGTAACTTTAAAAATATGACCACATAAATGGAGGGACAGTTAGATACCCAAGGATAGTCAAGTCCTAAATTGTGTTTTCTTTGGGATTTAAAATACAAACAACATAGTTACATTAATGCCAGTGATGGTTTTTGTCCACTTTTAGCTAACATTTTATACAATTTTATAAATTTGTTAATAAAATGTTTTTATATAAATATGCTGGAGGTAACTTGCTCCTCCTCCTCCATCATTCCATTAAAAAAAGGATTGTATTGCTTTTGTGGGTATTAACTGTAGGCTACTCTGATACATTTGGCTCTGCCAGAAAATAGTCAAGTAATTTTCCAGAATTTTAGTTAACATTGGCCATTAAGATGAACCCTTGAAACAGGCAAATCTTATAACTAGGTTGAAATGAGCAGGCAATTATGCTTTTAAGAAGGGTCAAAGTGAGAACTGAGTCTCCATGACATGCTGTCTTTCTTCATGGCTGGCACCAGCAAACGCATGCCTCCTTACCTTGACCAGGCCTCCCTGCTTGGTGAGGTAACCTTCCTTGGTGCCCAGCTGGAAAAGAGAGAAGCACCGAGTGAAGCCCAGAACCATGGCAACATGATCTTTGTCTTTCTATTCCTGTCCTGTCTTTAAATAAAACACATTTGCCTTTGATCTTTAAATAATCACCTTTCATTCTTCACCTAGGCCCTTGGAAATCCTTCCTATGTTGTTTGAGACTGTCAGGCTGGATTGTCTTGCATAATTCTGTAGCAACAGGCAATGACTGAAATACTCCCTTCTGACAGGACTTGGCTATTTGCAAACAATAAACCACATCATACCCCTGATAAAAACCAGTGTTGGGCCAAGTGTGTTCTGTGAAACCCAGCTGCTTGGATTGCTGCAGGGTATTAGTCACACAAGCATGCACGCACACACTGACAGGGGTCAACCGGTTTGGGAAACTGGATTGAGCAAAAATGAAGGAATTTCTTCATTTCCGTGCTTCCTGAAGTCTGTATTGTGCTAATGTGACTTTTTAAAAGGGAATGTTGGGAATACCGCTCCAATATTTATTTTATTGCATAATCCTCCACCAAACCCCTCTTCAGTTTTTCATCTTTGGAGACCTGTATTCCATGGAGCAGACCTCCTGGAATGCAGGTTTATTTATACTTGATTCATCCAAAAGGAATTCGAAGTGAGAATGAGTCATTTCTACTAACACATACATCATTAATTCAAGGGTAATAATAGCATACACTTCCCTAGCAACTATAAAATGTAACAAATGATAAGGGACTGTAGTAATAGAAATTTGCATAAAATAAGAACCCTAAGATGAAGAAATGTATAAGTTTCAGCAGGAATTGAACTCCTGGTAGGACATTTTGTCCTAATATGATGTTATGATATATCTTATATTAGTAAGGAAAAAGTGAGTAAAAATTGGGAAATAACTTAGCTGACATCAAGGTTCTTTTTATGGGAGTTTCCAGAGTATTTTTTCTTGAGGTAAATTCTCCCTCCAAATAAAAAGAGGAACAACAACTACCACAGTAAAAAGAGTTAAAGCACCAAATAAATATCACCACTTCTTTTAACATTCTTATGGCATTAAAGTAAGGATGAACTTCCCAAGTGTTCATTTAAATAATATTAAACAATATTGGTGAATTTCATTTAGCATAATTGGTTTGATTTATTTTGGCATTTAAAGGAAATTAAAGTGACTGAACCTAATTTGGTTGTTATATTATGGAAATGGCAAAAAAAATATAAATATTTTGTGTTGTTGCAGGCAAAATAATTAAATGTAAATTGTTATATAGAAGGCCCTTATAGAATTGTTCATTGAAATCAAGCTACCCACTTCATCTTACCTCCATCCAAGCAATATGCTATAAATCTAGGATTTTTGTAAGGTTTTGGTAGATAAGTGGAAAGCAGCAGAGGGAAGAGCTGAGAATATTAATTTTGTTCATGTTCTCAGGAGGTAAGAAAGGAAATAATTATATAGCAGATTTATCTTTTAAAAGATCTGTGATCTGTACCAGGAAAGATATTTATAAGTGTCCCAAATTGGAAACCACCTAAATGTTTAAAAATAAAGGATGAGTCTTCCTACCATCCTTTTTATCTGCTTGTGTGCCTGCCTGCCTTCACTTCAGTCAAAAGTCACTGGGAGGGGCAGAGCAAGTAGGCATCAATGTGAGGGCATTGCACCCCAGAACAGGGAGGGACCATGCAGGATACAGAGAGCATCTGTGTGGACAACGGCGGCTGCAACAGCTTGGGATTTCCTGTTGAAGCCTGGCAGGTGAGGAGGGTTCTCTGCCTGGGGGTTTGCAGGTGGCAGACAAGGCTTAGTTTTAGAGCCAAGTCAGAGGTGAGGGCAGGAGTGGCAATGGCCAGGCAGTGGTTCCTGGGCAATAGGATATTGCTACATTTGATTGATCACATATACGTGTGTAGAAGATAATGGGGTCTATATTCCTCACTGTGGGAGAAGGGAGTTACAAATATGAAAAGTGGAAAAACTAGAATGAGCCTTAGAGTGTTGGATCGGCATTGGAGGTATTGGCAGGAACCCATAGGTAGCTGATGGATAGATAGATAGGTGTATATATATATATATATATATATATATATAGAGAGAGAGAGAGAGAGAGAGAGAGAGAGAGAGAGAGAGAGAGAGGTATATATAGAAATAGAAGTAGAAATACAGATATCAATATAGGTATGTGTACATTGGTATATAATATATACTTTTGCTAGCTCTGTTCTCAGGGTAGGCTGGGAGAGTGACATCCTAATAACAATAAGCATGATACCAGGTCTTGGCTTCTAAAGTACTATGCTCCAGAAAAAGAAGAACAGAATTTCTTGGAGAAATAGCTGATTTTAGATATGGATGTAAGGAACGTACAGAATGAGTGTGTAACATTTTTGCTATACCAGAAAGTAAGAACATTCTCAAAGAATTATGAAGCTATAATGACATAGATGTCACCTCGAATGGGTTCTTATTGGCCAATCTGGGAAAATGTAAAGGATCAAAATAAATAATGATAGTCATGATTTTAAACATTGATATAAAAATAAATGATTGCAGAGATTCAGAAAATAAAAAGCTTTTTCTTATAGTAGAATGACAACATATGTATGTAAAAGGAAAACCATCACAGAATCTCCATTTGGCAACGATATAGTAATAAATAGCCAAGAAATATCTATGGATGCTAAATTGGTGAATAAAAGTTTAATGAAACTACCCAGCTGGTATGCTTGGTGATTGAGCATCAACCTATGAAACAGGAGGTCATCGTTCGATTTCGATCAGCACTGCCGGCTCGATCCCCAGTTGGGGGCATGCAGGAGAAGCCAATCAATGATTCTCTCTCATTATTGATGTTTCTATCTCATCTCTTGCTCCCTCTCTCTTTCTCTCTGAAATCAATAAGAAAAATATTTTTATAAAGTTTAATGAAATAGGATATTTACTTAGTTTCAGCCTCTCCCAAAATATTTATTAATGAAAAATTGAATAAAGTGATTTCAAAGTGAAGAAACCTGGCAGATACCACCTAATCAAGCAATCAAACACACCTCAGCGAGACAAATCCAAATTATGTTCCACCTGAGCAGATGCACCGAGAAGTGCAGATATCACCTTTGCTGTATTTCTACCAAAAATGCAAAACCTGAATCTAATCTCAAGGCATCATCAGACAAATCAAAGTTGAAGAATAGTTAACAAAATAACTCGCCTTTAATTTTCAGAAGTGCCAAAGTCATGAAATCAAGGAAAAACTGCGGAAGTGTTCCAGAGTGAAGAATACTCAAGAACTGGGACACATAAATGCCACCTGTGATTGTGGACTGAACCCTTTTGCTGTAGAGGACTTTATTGGGAAAACTGGCGAACCCCGAATGAGATCCGTGGATGGGACAGTGGTGCTGTAGCAATGTTAGTTTTCTGATTTGAGTGGCTGTATGTGGTCATATTGGCAAATGTTCTTGTATGTAGCAAATACACACTGATTGGGGTGATGGGGCACCATGTAGGCACTTTACTCTCAAATGGCTCAGGAACAAACACATTTCTTTGTACTATCCTTTTTAAAAAATTTTTATTGAATTTATTGGGCTGACATTTGTTAATAAAGTTCTATAGGTTTCAGGTGTACAATTCTACAATGCAATCATCTGTATATTGCACTGTGTGTTCACTATCCCAAATCACCATTTATCTTCACTTTATCCATTTCTACCTCCCTACTCCCCTCTCCCTCTGATAATCATCATGTTGTTGTCTGAGTCTATGAGGTTTTTTCCTTTGCTTAATCCCTTCGCCTTTTCACCCAGTCCCCCAACCCTCTGAAATTTGTCAGTTTGTTCTCTGTATCTATCAGTCTGTTTCTATTTTGTTTGTTTATTTTGTTCATTATATTCCACATATAAGTGAAATTATATGGACTTTCTCTGACTGGCTTATTTCACTTAGCATAATACTCTACAGGTCTATCCTTGCTGTTGCAAATGGTAAAGTTTCCTACTTGGTATTGTAAATAATGCTGCTATGAACATAGGAGTAGATATATTCTTTTGAATTGGTGTTTCAGGTTTCTTCAGATATATTCCTAGAAGTGGAATTGCTGGGTCATATTAACAATTTTTTGAGGTAACTTTATACTGCTTTTCACAGTGGCTGCACCAATCTGCATTCCTACCAATAGTGCATGAGGTGACCCCTTCTCTGCATCATTGGCATATATGTTCTTCCATTCAGTGAGTTGTCTTTTTATTTTGTTGGTGGTTTCCTTCATTATGCAAAAATCTTTGTAATTTAATGTAGCCCCATTTGTGTATTTTTTCTTTTGTTTCCCTTGCTCAGTGAAAATATTGCTACAAGAAATGTCTGAGATGTGACTGCCTACATTTTCTTCTAGGATTTTAGGGTTTTGAATCTAACATTTAAGTCTTTAATCCATTTTAAGTTTATTCTTATGTATCATAATTTTTGCAATTCTTGCAATTTTTTTCTGTAAATTTGAAATGATTTAAAATAACAAATAGCATATATATTTTCAAAAAATCTTGAACAACCACCAAAAACAGAATGTAAAAACACAATGGAGGATTAACTAAATAAAAATGATAAATCCAAATATTGGAATATTTAGGAATTTTGTTTTAATTATGTTTTAGGGACTATGTAAGGATATGGGAGATTCCATAGATAATTAAACAAGCACACTGTAACTCTAATTACAATGAAGAGATCATTATATAAATTCTATTTGTTTTATATATATATTATATAATCTTATTCAAGAAAAAGGCTAGAAAAATCAACACAAAATTGTTAACTGTGAGAGAGCTCCAAAGACAGAATATTAAAAAGGCAAACATACAAGGGAATGTCAAAGAAAAAGAATTATGAAATATGTTAAAGAGATAACAGACTAAAGAGAGAACGTTTATTGCAGAAGCAAAGGGAACGGAAATTTTAGAAGGAAGTTGTTAAAAATGTCAAGTACCACAAAAGGAAAGCAATGAAGCTGGTATTTTAGATAGGACCTATTCTATATTAGGCACTTGGATTATATTATGTCACTTAATCTCTACCCACATAACTAATTGGCATTTTCCATTTCCCAGGTTCAAAACCCACTTCTCCTACCCCCTTAGCCATCTCAGTAAATGGAGAACTGTTTATCCTGTTGCTCTTTCTTTCACATAGCACATTCAATCCCTCAGTAAATCTTGTCTCTGCTTTATGATCCAGTGATTCCACTTTGGGGAATATATCCGAAGAAATTCCAAACACTAATTTGAAAGAATATATGCAACCCTATGTTAATTGTAGCATTATTTATAATATCCAAGATTTGGAAGCAACCCAAGTGCTCATCAGTAAATAAGTAGATAAAAAAGCTATGGTATATTTACACAATAGAATACTACTCTTCTGGAAGGAAGGAAGGAAGGAAGGAAGGAAGGAAGGAAGGAAGGAAGGAAGGAAGGAAGGAAGATTGGAAATCTTACCTTTTGCAATAGCATGGATGGACCTGGAGAGTATTATGCTACGTGAAGTAAGTCAAAGAAAGACCATATGATTACACTTATATTGGAATCTAATGGACTAACAAACAAAATAGAAACAGACTCATAGATACAACGAACAGACTGAGAGCTGTCTGAGTGGAGTGGGATTGAGGAGTTGGGTGAAAAGGGTGAATAGATTAAACAAAACAAAACAAAACAAAACAAAACAAAACCCCTCATAGACAACATGGTGATTATCAGTGGGAAAGGGGGCTGGTGGAAGTAGAAGTGGACACACAATACAATATACAGATGACATATTACAGAATTGTACACCTGAAACCTATATAATTTTATTAACCAGTGTCACCCCAATAAAGTGAATTAAAAGAGAAAAAAACTTTAAATAAGTAAATTAGTTAAATTTCATCCTATCTTCAGGAACCCAACCCTATGTTGTGTATAAAACAAATATTAATTTCCCCAAATGCAGTTGCCAAAGGATGTTAACAGTGTTACACAAGCATCTACATTTCTGGGCAATGGGACATCTGTTTTCATTTTCACTTCAAGCAAGAAGTTCTTTTTTTCTGTAAAATGACTTAATTTTCTTTCTCTACTGCTAGAGCTTATGAAAGACCTGCATCCCAAAAAGGGAAGATAGAAGTCTGGAAGCCCTCAGAGCTCTCAGTCTGGAGATGGTGATACAGTATCATGTTGGCATTGGGGACAACATTGAAGGATGATAACTCATGTTCAGTAAGGGACCAGAGCATCTGATCCAACCAGCTGGTCCAGTTATCAATTCCTCTCTAGTGAGGACTAATAAGAGATACTTTAGTATCCATTAGAAACCCTTTGTTTTTAAAAGATATTTTTATTGATTTCAGAGAGGGAGAGAGAGATAGAAACATCAATGATGAGAAAGAATTATTGATCAGCTGCCTCCTGCACAACCCCTACTGGGGATCGGGCTCACAACCCAGGCAGGTGCCATTGACCAGAATATTGTATCTATCAGTCTGTTTCTATTGTATCTATCAGTCCCCAGGCCAATACTCTATCCATTGAGCCAAACCAGCAGGGCCACTAGAAACACTTTATAATTTTCTTTCTATATGAATGCACAGAAAACTTCATGGACTTCTGATTACATAGTATGAGGTCAGTCATTCTCAACCATTCATTCACCACTGTTTTAAAAACTCCATTATACAGAACCTTCCACATATGATCATATTTAGATATTTGGGCAGGTAAATCACCTGACACTTGGAGTGAGCAAAGGAGGTAAGTAATAAGGCTTCCAGGTTTTGGTCTAAAGTGACCTGCTTCTCTCTACTTCTCATGCTCACACCAACTCTTCAAATCAGGTGTTACCTGCATTTTACTGTTGATAAAGGACACACATAAGGTATGGTAAAACTGACCTTGAATGAAGATCTTTAGGAGAAGGGTAAAGGAGAGAATGTGATGTTAAACTGAGACCACAAGTGAATGAGATGGTGAAGTGATAGACGCTGGAGTAAGAAAGGGTAAAGAAGAAAGTTAAGAATGATGGGTTCTACTGGGAAAACAAAACAAACAAACAAACAAACAAAAAGAATTAAAAGATATGTCTTGATTTGTTCTTTGGTATGATGATGATTTGTCTTATTTTCCAAAATTTCTTTAGTTCTGAGGTCTGATGCTTCCTCCTCCAACTCTTAACAAAGCGAAAATACCTTTCTCAACCAATTTGCAGAATCTTACTTTTGAGTAGATGCAGCTTCGTGACAAGAATGCAACGTGTGCTGTGGACCTGGCTAGGCGGTAAAGCTACGCTACAAGCTAGGATTCCTCTCCTGAGAAGGGCCAGGCTGCTGGAGGTAGTTATGGCGAGTCCAGAATAAAGGCAAACAGAGGGTGCTTGAAGCACAGAAGTGGGGCATTTTACAGGAAACTAGGAGAAGCTCGGAAATCTCTCTGGAAGATACTGATCCCTGATGCAAGTCCTGAAAAATGAGGAGACAGTGTGGCGTTGGTAGCATTTCAGATGCAGGGCAGGAAGGCAGAGACAATCAGAAACGCATGTTGTTGAGAGAAACAGGCTCCACAGCGTGAGTGTGGGCCCAGCCTGAGGTGAGGTCAGAGGTGTGAGCAGGGTCCAGGCCACCTGAGAAGACCATGGACACCACAGAAGGATGTTAACAGGAAAGTATGTGGTGAATCTGTTTTTTAGGAGAGATGTCTCTGGTGCAGAGTAGGAAAAGTACTGCAGAGACGGAGAGGTTACACATGTTCTAAAAGAATTGTAGCTGAGTGTCTCCAAGTGAATATGTCTCACGTGTAATGGTTGCTATCTAGAGTCAGTTCTTGTTGTTTCGTTTGTGTGTTGTCTTCTTTGTTATCTGCACAAACCCAGCGGTCTCATTCCAGGAATAGTCAGCAAACAAAAAGAAAGAGGATAGAGGAGCCTGAGCATTATGTAGGGCAGAGGGTGCTGGGGAGGAACCTTCTCAGGGTCACAGCTCACAGAACAAACAGAAGTGGACTCTCAGAGGATCAGTGAATGCTCTGTGTGTGCTCAGACTGTGCGACGGCTCTGCTACAGAGAAGGGCAGGTGTTTTCTGTCTGTGTCCTTCTTCCAGTAAAGGAAAAGAATGGCTAAAAAAAAAAAAAAACATCCCTAGGGTTTGCAGTACAATATTTTTGAAAAATAGTTTTCTTCCATATACAGTTGAAATGTAGAAGAAAATTGTTTTCTTTATTTTATTTTATTTTTAAATATATTTTTATTGATTTTTTTTTTTTTTTTTTTTTTTTACAGAGAGGTAGGGAGAGGGACAGAAAGTTAGAAATATCAATGAGAGAGGAACATCGATCAGCTGCCTCCTGCACACTTCCCAAGGGGATGGGCCCGCAACCAAGGCACATGCCCCCGACCAGAATCGAACCCGGGACCCTTGAGATCATAGACTGACACTCTATCCATTGAGCCGAACCAGTTTCAGCTGTTTTCTTTATTTTAGATACTTGTTAAAGAAGAATAGTTCAATCAACCATGTGAACTTGAATAGCTCTCACCCATTCTAGCATGAACTAGTTTGACTGAGGATGGAGATTTAAGTGCTATTGTCTAAGTATTTAAGATTCTCTCAATAATCGCATTGCGTGTTTTTTTTGTTTTGTTTTTGTTTTTATGATTTATGTGGAACCAGATAAACTGAGTCATAAGCTTCATGTTCCTTTCTAGGCTTTATGTCCCAAGTGAGAATTTTTATGTGAGCAAACATACTTTGAAAGTATATTGCTCTTACTGCACTTTATTGCTATTGGACAGCAAGAAAGCTGTGTCAGATTGATGGCCACTTACCGAAGGCGCAGTGGGCACCAGGTCATTTTCCGTTCTTCCTGTCTGCATTGCTGTGTGAACCCGGACTGATTCATAAATGGCAGGTTCTTCCACTTTCCTTGGGTAGGGATGTTTCAGAACCATCAGAGTGCCTGAATGGAGGGGAAGAACATATTCATATAGTTTCCCCAGGAAGGAGGTCCAAATGCTAACAATGAGAGAGCTGTGGCTGGATTGTAGTCTCTTGTTTGTTCATGTCTTCACTTGTTTATTTTCCCAGCGTTCACTGAGTGCCAGGGTGTGCCAGGCACATGAGCTGGACACGGGAGATCTGAGGTGTGATGAGATGATTTCTGGCTTCCTAGTGCTCAGAAAGAGCTGTCAGTGGACATCACTTAACGAATAGTCATTTACTTCTTTCTTTTTCTTTTCTTTTATCAAATAGTCATTTCAACAAACAGATTAAGAGACCAATGTCAGCGATATGAACAAAGCAGGCTGGTGGCTTTTGGAGAACTAACCCTGAAGAACTAACCCTTCCGTGGAATTTGTCAGAAAATCTTTCCTAGAAAAAGGCAATATTGATCTAGATCTTAGGCAATAACTGGAAGTTTTCCAGTAGACTTTACAAAAGTGATGAACCCAAACCCCACGAATGCACTGGGATATAGAAGGATTTATTCCACTGCCCTTATTTCTTACTAGCTTTAGAAAAAACTTGTAAAAGATCACTGGATCTCAAAAAAGTGTACTCACAGCTTCTCTCTACTGTCTCCTACCACCGAACTAATGATAAACTAACCAAAGCCTTTGCGTTTCTTAAGTGGATATGCTGTGACCATTCACTTCTATCTGCAGGAGGGCAGTCCCTGCAGGAATCCGGTTCTCCCCAGGGTCAGGCGTGGCCTGCCACTCAGGGGCCAAGGGCAGTTCTGACTCTCTGCTTCCAACCCCAAGTCCAAAGTCTCCCCATTCTGGTCCTTCCCTTCCCCCAACCAACCAGCCAATCCAAAGCTAGAAACTCGGACTGCAGAAAAGTAAGTTAAGGTTTCCCCCACTTTACTATGACTTCTTCCTTTTTATTTTACTAGGGTCTCATACGACAGGTTGGGGATTGTGCTAGACACTGGGATAGATTAAAGAATTCAGTAATTCAACAAATATTTACTGAGCTCTACTAAGTGTCAGGCACTTGTCTAGATACACCAGCAAACAAAGGAGGTATCACATCTGCTCTGTGGCAGGGGAAACAGAAAAAAAGAAAAAGAAAAAATAATATGTCAGGTGAGAGAAGTACTTTGAACAAACTAATAGAGAAGGTAAAGGAATAGAGAGCCCAAAGCATGGGGTTGGGTGAGGGTGATATTTATATGGCTGGTCAGAAAGACTCCTTTGAAAAGGTAATTTGAAAAAGTATAGGAAGCACAGACCTTGAACTGAAGTAAGAGAAAGGCAATGAGGAGAGAAAAATACCTGCTCTGTAATTATAAAACCCTAATGAGTAAGGATAAACCTACAAACAAAACAAAACCTTCCTACAGGGTTTGAGTACACATGGGATACTCGCTGCCCAAACACAGCTGCAGCCTCGGATACCTGGGCCCAGATAATGCGCTGCTGTCACGTGAAGAGGAGCACTGAGAAAAGCCATTGATCCTGACCCCAGTAATGAATGGGAGACTCGGGTCTCCTCCTCTTTCTGCACTTAGCTCACGTCAGTGGCGTTGGGCACACAATGAAAATGGCCTTTTGCAGTTATCAGAAGCCCCATTCCCGCCCTGGCACATGGTCTATGCTGTCTTTTGTCAATGCGATCCCTTCGTGAGAAAGACCGAGTCATATCAGGACAAGGGGCCGGTTACAGCGTTACAGTCAGAATGAAAGTGTCGACACCTAAATCAAGAGCAGCCGTTGTGCAGGTTCAGGGTTCTGTGAAGTTGTTAGATGGCAGATGCTTGACGAACCGGGGAGTTGGCACTATGTGACCTGCCCCAGAGAAACACCGCCGGCGACATGCCTGGCACCTCCCTGATGTCACGGAAAGAGCCAACGCGACCACCTGGTACCTGCTGACCTTGGACAATCATTCTAGCTTTTGTTTCCTCCTCTGACAAGTGAGAATAATTACCCTTTCTTCACAAGCTTGTTTTAGGCACCTGTAAAGAAGTGTTTGCCAAAGGTTTATAAACATGTTAGCTGTTATTCCACTTTGCTATAGAGTATTTTAAAATCCTAAATGAAAGTCCAGGGTTCAGCATCTATGGGACAATGGATTTTGAAATGTCAAGTGAAAAGGATAATGGGCGGCATTCTGCTGAGAATAACAGTGACAGTTGTCTGATAGCCTCTGACCACAGTGCTGAGAAATATTAGTGCCTCTTGGACCCTGTGGAGCACGGGGGGACTGGAGCCCAAGGATCAAGGCAGCTCACACATGAGAAGGAATGTGAAAGCTTATGCTTTCTCTTCAAAGTCGATGCCAACTTTTTATCCTGTTCCATATGAAAATATTTTTTAAATGATGCTCTAGAAAGATGCACCTAGTCAATCTTCTTTTTTGCATATAATCAGCATTCATATCTTCTAGCATATTCCTATTGGCTCTATTTTCTTATTGCTGCTGTAACAAATCACAAGCATAATAACTAAAAATAACTCAGATTTATAATCTTACCGTTCTGGACGTCAGAAGTCATTTCAGAGTGTGACTAACCTAAAAATCAAGGTATTGTCAGGCTGCTTCCCTCCTGGAGGCTCCGGAGGAGATTCCATTCCTTTGCCTGTTCTAGCTTCCAGAGGCTGCCTGCCTTCCCTGACTGGTCATCCTCCCCCTCCACCTTCTAAGCCAGCAACAGCAGGTCCAGTCTTCTCATGCTGGTTCTCCCTCTGCTGCCTTTGTCCTTCAGTTATAAGGACCCTGTGATTACACTGGGCCCACCTGGACAATCAAGGATTATCTCCCCATCTTAATGTCAGCTGATTAGTGGCTTTAATCAATCTGAAAGCTAATTCCCTCTCTCCTTGTAACATAACTTATTCACAGATCCAGGGAAAGACTTGGGCATCTTTGCGGGGCTGATATCCTGCCTACCAGTCTCAGTCCCAGGAAGGGGACAGCCATAGGACCAGTTATGCTGCCATGTAAGCATCTCTGGGCCAGTGTTGCTCCCTGAACCTGCATTGCTTTAACCACTTGGTATTATAAAGCCGTTGCCTTTACAACAGATGCATTTCCAAACCCTGTAAACCCTCAGAGCAGATACGTTTCCAAATTTATCTTTGTATCCATACCTCTGTTTTATTTTTTTAAATACATTTTATTGAGTTTTTACAGAGGAAGAGAGAGGGATAGAAAGCTAGAAATATCGATGAGAGAGAAACATCAATCAGCTGCTTCCTGAACACCCCCTACTGGGGATGAGCCCGCAACCAAGGTACGTGCCCTTGCCCGGAATCGAACCCGGGACTTTAGTCTGCAGTCCAACGCTCTATCCACTGAGTCAACCCAGTTTCAGCTCCCTACCTCTTGATAGAGTTTCCGACATAATGACATCTTGATGAGTGAATGAATGAACAAATAAATGAATGAATAAATGTCACAGTAATTCAGACTTAAGGCAAGAAAGAGCCTGGGATGGACCAGCCTCCAAGTCCACAACCATCCTGGCCTGGGGCAAGGACAAAGCAATAACCTGAAGTGTGGCTCTCCATATCTTCATTGGCGGGACCCAAATTCTATTTCGAAAGCCTCTCCTAAAGTTTAACCAATAGATGCTAAACTGAAAGAAATGATATTAAGTCAACCAGGAAAATAGAACTGACTATGAAAATTGATTTTAACTAGTAAGACCATGAAAGAGGTCAGACTGAATGGTACAATGAAGATAATGATAAACACCTTACAAAATGGCAACTCCTGCTGATAAAAACCTGGCCTCAAAGATAGGTCTCCTTCTTTGACCATTCTTCCCAAAGAAGGGCCAATATACAGATTTGTTGGCATGGCTGCTGGGCTTACGATGATTTATCCTTGTGTAGAGACTGTCCCATCCCAATACAGAAGCAGAGCCCCCTAGACCTGGCCCTCCCCCTGAATGCCTCCCCTGAACTGCACTCTCCGGACTCACTTCTTGGGGATCTGCTTAGTTACTTCTCTGGAGATAAGGTTCATTGCCTTCAATTTCTGAACTACATGAAGGAAACTGCTGCTTCCTGTCGTTGACATGAAACATGGTTTCAGAAACACTTGGTACATTTTTGAAGTGATCAGAGCAAGACCAAGGCAGGCATTTTAATTTGTTAAAAGCTTCAGAGTTGCCATGATCACTGGGATGATTCCTTATGTTTTCAGCTTTGTCCTTAAATTCTGGGATGAAATACTAATATCTTTCCCCAAAATTTCATTTCTCTCCCTGTACTCCTCTTTTTAAAAAAAAAAAATTTTAATTTTTAAATTCAGCTTGTCAGGGTTGGTTTACATGATTTTCAATCAAAAGAAATTTATATCGTTAAGCCACTGCAGACTCATTATAATTTCCACCCAAGGTTCAAGATAGTGCCTTGGCTCCATAGGAGAGGAACTCTGGACTAATAACATTTAAAAAAAAAAAAAAATGAACTCCAGGACTTGGCTAGAAGATTCAGATAAAAAAACAACCAGAGGCAGGGCTGGTAGAAGGAGAAGAGCAAGGAATGTCAGCAACCACAGGTCTTGGGAACCTGGCAGCTAGTTTTACTTCAGTTTCTGAACTGCATGAAGGAGACTGCTGTTTCCCGCTTTGGGCTGAATTGATTTCAGAAATGCTTGGTGGGAGTACATTTTTGAGGTGATCAGAAAAGGAATGAGACAGGCATTTTGATGTGCTTTGACTGAACTGTAGCTTACAGAACACCTACTCTAATACTATGAGATTGCACTGAAGAGCTCATCTTACATCCCAGCAGGAAGAGTAAGAACAGCCTCCAGCCCAGGCGTTGGTGTGATGTCTGAAACAGAGTGCAGCGCAAGAGCACACATCGCTCCTGAAGGGGGAACTTTGGTTTTGAGTATTTCTTTCCTGCACCAAATCTAGTGCTTTGCCCAGCAGGCTCCCCAGCTGGATGGTAAGATGTTTAAGGGTGATATCTGATTGTCAGTGGCTAACAAATGCCCGGTTCATGGTTGGCATTCAATATCTATTTGATGAATTATATTAAAATGAGATCATGCCCTAACTGGTTTGGCTTAGTGGATAGAACATTGGCCTGCAGACTGAAGGGTTCCAGGTTCAATTCCGGTCGAGGGCATGTACCTTGGATGCAGGCACATCCCCAGTGGGAGGTGTGCAGGAGGCAGCTGATCCATGTTTCTCTCTCATAGATGTTTCTAACTCTTTATCCTTCTCCCTTCCTCTCTGTTCAAAAATCAATAAAATATATTTTTTTTAAAAATGAGATCACATCCTTCCATGTTTTGTTATTGACCTCAGGCTCAGAAAACTGGCTTATGCATGAGTTCCTCTGTCTCTTCCTGCCAATGGAAGTGGCTTTCTAGGTGGAGTTTATAGGAATATTCAAGATTTGCCTCCATCCTTTTTTGCAACCTGCTCTGCAAATGAACTATCGCCCATCATAAAATGGTGCTAGTTCAACTACATTCATTTACATTAGAAGGAACTTAAAATTTGAAGAAGACATCATACATATTTGATAAATACACATTAAACTCTCCCTAAACTAACTCTTCATGATATACCAAAGAATGTATAGCTTTTGTGTATAGTATTATGGAATGAATTACTACAAAGGGACTTCATTAAGTAACAATAATGATTGAGTGTTTATGCCATGCTATGAATCATTCTAAATGTCTTACATGCCTAATCTCATTCAATCTTCACTGCAAGTCATGACCTTTTAAGGTATAAACTATTACACCATCAGCTCAATTTTATAACATGACGAAACTGAAGCTCAGGTGACACAACTTGCATGAGGACTCGCAGCTGGTGAATGTTGGGACTGGAGTTGAGCTGGGAATTTAATTGTTTACTCATGATACCATATATGATTCTCAGCTCTGGTGGTCGCCACCATGAAAACTCTGTATGGCATGTGAAATATTGTACTCTATTTATCGTGGGCAAGAGAGCATATGTATAAATCAAAATTTAAAAACTGATTCTTTAGGAGGCAGCTTCAGTAAAGGATGTGTGAGTTTTTGCCTCAACATTTCTCACCAGGGCTTCTTTTTCATTTCTAAAGAAAAGATTAAATGGTCTCTGAGATCCCTGCCATTCTAACATCAGTAAATCTAGTTAAACTCCCCAATTGAGAAGCAAGAAATAGTAACTAAATTCATGTTCTATTTGCCAAAGACAAACAATATTCATTTGAAATATTTTTTTTCCTGGTGCCATTTTATCTTTGTGTCTCATTTTTCTTTTCCTCCATCAAACTTCCAATTTTATTTTACCTTCTTGTATTTACCAAGGCTGTTTTATAGCCTTTCTGGAGAGACATGAATGAGAGGGGCCCAAGTATTTGGGAGATGTTTTCTAATCATTCTTTTCCTTTTTTAAGATTTCCTCTAGTATAATTTCTCAAATAGCAATACCTACAAAGACAGATGTTCAATCTGATTTACATTCTTTAGGACAATGGCTTCATATCACAAGCCAAAAATATGATATAGACTTTAGAGACAGAGGGCTAGAGCTGACATAGGTATTGTAGCCTCGCCATATCCTATAACATCCTATTATGTACTGTGGCAGAGATCCTTCCCATTCAAATCCATTGAAGGACATACTGTGCTGTGGCAATGCTATCCCACAAGAGCAGTTTCAGGAGAGAGCAAGGCGAATGAAAAGGGCCTACACTTTAGCACTAGGTTAGTCTGTATTCCAACCTCAACTCTGATGCTTACTAGGTGTGTAATCTTAGGCAAATGGCTTAACATCTCTGAGTTTTTATTTCCTCATTTGAAAATGGGACCAGTTTACACATTATGGTTCAGAAAATTAGAGAATTTTATATTTGTCACAATTTCTAGTAGAATGCCTAGAACTTAGTAAACACTCCACAAATGCTAGTTTCATTCTCTTTTTTGATTGCTTTTTCCTTTTTCAAAAACACCTCATTATAAACTAATAAAATATGTATTTTTTGGCAAACATAAACTAAGAAGTGACTTCTGGTCGTGGTTTAGCAAAATTCCAAGTTGTCACTAATAATTTTCAGATATGTCACAAAATTCTTAAATTAAAAATAGTTTTAACTTAATTATTTTAAAATGCTACCTAAGTAAAATGGCTGGTGTCACAAAATATAATAACAGCCATAGCAGTTATCAAGAGGTTGGGAATCCCCACATCAAAACAAAAAGAGAAGTGGAAATTTGACATTTAAGAAAGAACCAGATAGCATCTTTAAAACTGAGAACCAATTACTATAAAGGGTAAGTACAAACAAAGCATTTGACTAATATAATTTTTCATGCTGTTAGGTGATTAAAGTCACAACCTAGTAATTCCTATCATAAATCATATATGACAATTTTATGTACATAAGTATTGCAATAGAAACAAAGGGTAATGGAAAGGTAATTTTTGTTCTAATAATATTTAGAATTTAACATAAAGAGAATTATCTATATTTTCAAGTCTATATAGGAAACTTAGTCAATCATCAGAGGATACGGTAAGAATTAATAATAATCGACCAAGGATTTAAGAAAATCTCAAAAGCATATACAATAAAAAATCTCAAAAGCTATTGGAGTTGAATTTAGAAGCCATGTACAAATATAAAGAGATGGTTTTATATAACATGTTAATATTACAAATGAATTCTGAATTTAATCATTACTGAGCATACATACAACATATAACATCATTCAAATTGTGCTTTGTATAAATGTTAACTGTCAGGAGTCTGCTGGTTGTGGGTTGCCATGAAAGCTGCAATGCAGGCACTGGTAATGCAATACCCAACATGAAATGTTATGGATAATTGTTATCATTGATTCTTTTATGTGTTGGGACATACCAGAGAAATAAAACTGACTAAAATCTCTCTTCTTATAGAGTTTACATACTAGTACAAAGACATTTTAAAGTGAAATATACAATATGTGAGAAGATAAAAGGACCATTGAGGAAAGTAAAGCAAAAGGGTACTTACATATCTCTATTATATACTTGGGAAATTCTTGGATTTTGAAAACTGGAAATAGCTTAAGCGTGCTTATGGGAACTAATAAGGAAAAATTAGAGTGAACAGAAACATAAATGAGATGAAATGCAGATTACAGCAAGGGAAAGGGGAAATTATGCTAAGAGAATCTTAGAGTTGTCAGGAAAGTTAGATCTTGTTCAGGGAATCTTTATTCTCCAGAGCAGGAAACAGAAATTCTTCAAGTTTAAAGATTAGGGAATAGAAATAGAACGAAAAGAAAGATATCTTAAAATAGTATATATACCTTTAGATTAATATGTTTACCTATCTTGACAACAAATATGTTTTTATGATCCAGAACCAAGTGTTTTGGGTTTTACTCAACTGAAGACATTAACTATAAATGTAAGGCAAAGGTGTAAGGTTGTTGGCTATTTGCAGGTCTTCCCTGTTATCCTCAGAGGTGGTGCCATCCCTGTCAGTGGATGAGTGTAAGAAAGTCTCTCTTAAATGAACTCACTCTCCAGGCCCTGCAGGGCAAGTCTGGTCTGAATGGGGTCTGGACTGAGAGGAGAAGCCTGAAATACCCAAGTTTAGTCCTTCCCATTCTGAGGATCTGGAGGAGAGAACCCTGGCAGGGCTTCATCCATTGGGCAGGCAAATGCTTCTCTAGTTTTATCTAACTAAAACTTTAAGAAGAATTTGCACTTAATCTAATGGTACACACAGAATCATCAGTCTGGATATCTCTCGATCTCTGATCAGAGGGAGGCAACACCAGAAGCCAATTTAAAAACAAAACACTGTACAACCCCCTTCAGTGCTCACAGCCCACAGGTAAGAAGGCTGGGCAATGGTTCGAGGCCACAATTTATTCTGGCATGGGAACACTATGAGAGGCCCACAGAGAAAGGCCCAACATAAATCCATTACCATTCTGCAGAAGGAGAGAGGAAGGTAGACAGAAAGAGAAAGAGAAACATTGATGTGAGAAACATTGATCAGTTCCCTCCTGCATGTGCCCTGATTGGGAATCGAACCCACCACCTTTTGGTGTACAGGTGATGCTCCAACAAACTGAGCCACACCAGCCAGGGCCAGAAACCAACTCTTAAATGAACAAGAAGACACCTATTTTTAGAAGATGGCATCCAAGTTTCCATTCACCATTCTTCAGAGGTCACAGTGCCTACTCTGTAGCTTCTGAGGACTTTCTGTCCTCGAGTCATCATGACTTCAGCACATTATCTAGTTTCCTGGAGCCTATTATTCCCAGAGGGGGAAAATTGGGACTCTTGTCATGGCTTTGTTTTCATCTGGCTAGGACAGATAAGAAGGATATTTTATGTTAGAAGAATCCAACTCAAGAGCTAGAAACTAGTAAGTCAAGTGCATATTTATCAGCACCAGGTTCCTGTAGCAGGGCTTCAAGTCGCAACAAATTCTCTATTGGATAATGAATAGAACAGAGGAGATGCAGGGAAGGAGATTAAAACTTAGTTTCCTGAATTTTATTACAGTCAATAAAATAATTATAATACTATAAAATAATGGTAAAAATATATCAGGCTTTAGCTTTGAAGAAAACTACTGTAAGAGTCAGGATTACACATCCTTGCAATCCCTAATCCACTAATCATGAACCTCTTTTAGCTAGATAAATGTATTTACAGGGTTTTTAACATTGTCCCAAAATCACTGTCAATCTTAGGTGAGCCTCTTGCCTGGTGATTGGATCAGTATCACAAAGGTTCAACTAAAAAGCTCTGTATTCACTTTCTTCTTAAATTGTTTTGAAATCTGTTGGTAGGCAAAATTTCCCCTAACTTTGAGAAAATCCAGGAAAGCGTACAGAAAATGATTAAAGGGGTTGAAAATGGAGCCTTAGAAGAAGGGAGCTGACTTTGTTTGGAGAAAGAAGAGAAAACTGGAAGATAATAATAATAATGGTTTTGAAGGCTACAAAGAGTTCCCCTAATAGTCATCCATTCATTTGTTCACTCAAAGTGCCATGCACTATATCAGGATCTGGGGGACACGGAGAAGGACAAAGATAGAAGCTGATGAAGTCTTTGGCTTCAGAAATCTCTTCTCCACTGCCAGTGACCAAGAGTTGAACAATACTAAGTGTCACAGTAGGAAATAAGTCAGAAGTGAAGGGATTTGAGAAATTGAAATGCTTGCCAAGGCCCAAGTAGCAATGGAAATAAACACATCCTCACCTGCCATCTGTTTATGAGAACTATAATACTTCTGGTTAAATGGTGAAGTAATTTTCAGGGCTGGCAGGGAGAATTTCCACCAGAAAAAATTATTATAGCTTCAATTTTATAGTTTGGGGTATTCTATTATAGGCCTTGTATGGTCAGTATTAAAGTTAAGCAAATATTTTGTGGTTTCCATTGTGCTTTCATCTCTACTTCACACTGCATGATTCATACCAGGGTCTATCCAGACCACAGAAATAGCAGAAAAGGAAGACAATGATGGTATCCCTTCCCACCACACTGAAATTAACAAAAAAGCCCCCTGGCCATGTTTACCAAGAAAACACTATGTACAAATTCACAGTAACCAGTTGTGTTATCAAGTTGCGAGTTCCTCTGTGCCACAGGTTCTTGGAATTGCCAACTTTTGATTAACTGAGAATTACCATTTAGGACATATAAAATTGTGACTCTATATTACAAATACAAGGATGATCATTTACTTTATTTAAAAAGTATGGACAAAAAAACTTTAGTAATTCTCATACTAAGATAGTGTGTTTGTTTGATTTTTAACTTTTATATTCTGCTTTGACTCTAACAACTCAAATAAACAAATTTAAAATGTTTTAGCCATATGTAAGTCCAATTTAAAAACTTAAGATAAACCAAGACAAGACAAACAGAATTTTATGATGAAATGAAGGAATTGCTCAGGCCAGCAATCTCTAGTTAATATTTTCAATATTCAGTGATCTTTCTGAAAATTTAAATACAAATTACATTTAAAAAAAAACTCAAAATTATCTGTTATGGGTCTCTCCAATATGCAAACTACCCTACCTAAAAATTGTGAAGCATCAAAAAGTTATTCTTATCTTTGTTCTTTCTTTTTTTAAAATTATATATACTATTATAAAGTGAATAGATAATTTTAAAGAAATTGTGTGCTTTTAATCAATCCTTTAAATAATATTCTGACAAAAATTATTGTTTTCACAAAGCACATTATTTTCTCCTAAAGACAATACTGAGATACACACAAATACAAATTTATGTATATAATTTATAAATGTAGCATATGGCACAGTAATTGGGAAAAACTTTCTAAATAAATCCAATTGCTTATTATACCCACATAATTCAATAGGATTGACAAGTATTTCATTGAAATCCACCTGTTCCTCCTCCACCCGAAACAATGGCGCATAGATCAAGGATCTTTGTGTTCAGAGCTTACCTGTCTCACTTCCAATCAAAGGCTGATTTGCAAAATGCTTGACAAAATCCTTCAAAGATGAGAATTCATTAAAGCCAAATTTAAATGAAAATCCGGTATATTCAACATGAAAGTGTTTGACAGAGTCTTTGGCTCTGAAAAGGAAAAATAAATGTTCAATATTATTATAATAAACTAGAGGCCTGGTCCATGAAAATTCATGCACTCGGGTGGGGGGTATCCCTCAGCCTAGCCTGTGCCCTCTCGAGTTCAGGAGCCCTCGGGACATGTCCACCTGCCAGCTTAGGCATGCTCCCTGGAGGGTCAGGCCTGAGCTGGCAGTCAGACATCCCTCTGGTAGCCTGTGAGCACTTGGAGGATGTCCGCCTGATGGGTTAGGCTGCTCCCCGGACCTAAGCCATTGTTGGACATCCTTAGTGCTGCCAAGGAGGCGGGAGAGGCTCCCGCGCTCATAGCTGTCAGCCTGGCTTATGGCTGAGCGGAGCTCTCCCTATGGGAGTGTACTGACCACCAGGGGGCAGCTCCTGCATTGAGTGTCTGCCCCCTGGTGGTAAGTTCCTGTCATAGTGACTGGTCATTCCCAGTCATTCTGCTATTAGGGTCAACTTGCATATTATCCTTTTATTATATAGGATGAGTATCATTTTTGAAGAAAAATAGTAACCTTATGTACCGTATTTTTCGGACCATAAGACGCACCAGTTTTTAGAGAAGGGAAATGAAGAAAAAAAGATTCTGAAACAAATAGTGTCCTAAAATATTTTATGTGCATTAAAACCCAACATCACAGTCATAAACACATGTAATCAACCCTGTAAAGTAAACAGCAGCATTTAGAACCATTTTAGAGCCGGGCAAGCACACAGAGACCACACAGAGCCGGGCAAGTAAAAAAACTTTTTTTTAAAAGTATATGTGTAGGCTATATTTGGACCATAAGATGCAGGGACTTTCCTCCCCCACTTCTGGGGGGAAAAAAGTGCGTCTTATGGTCCGAAAAATATGGTATTTCATATCAATAGTCAATCCCCTTAAAAACTGAGAATTATGACACAATCATAGACATAGTTTCTTTCGGCATAGTGTGCTTTTGTGAATTTTTCACTCTAGTAGAAGATAAGAGACAATTCTCCCTGTGCATTCTGTGACTTGTGGAAAAAGTCCTTGAACGTTAACATCCTTAAGGAGCAGGAATTTAATATTAATAAAAGCAGGGAAGAGAGATTATGGAAATGGCAGGTCACATGTTCTCTGTCCCTGGCCCTCCTCTCTTACTTGTTTGGGAGTTGGTATGAATTCAGCTTCTGTCACTTAATTAGTTATGTAAGGCCAGGCCTTTTTCTTCCTTGTCTGTTCCACTGCCTACTGACTAAAATATAAAATTTCCTACATTGTCATTTTCCACCTCATTTTTGGAATGAGGCAGAGCATTAAATAAATTATAAATTACATATAGTATATATATTTGAATCCCACTATTCTTCTCTTCTCTGTACAGGGCGAGCTCTAACTTTTACGTGCTTCAGAAATTAGAATCAGCCCAGCTGGTGTAGCTCAGTGGTTGAGCGTTGACCCATGAACCAGGTGGTCATGATTCAATTCCCAGTCTGGGCACATGCTTGGGGTGCGGGCACGATCTCTAATGGAAGTCATGCAGGAGGCAACTCATCAAAGATTGTCTCTCATCATTGATGTTATTATCTCTCCTTCCCTCTTCCTTTTTCTCTGAAGTCAATTAAAAAAAAAAAAAAAAAAAAAAAAAGAGCCCTAACCAGTTTGGCTCAGTGGACAGAGCGTTGGCCTGCAGAGTCAAGGGTTCCATGTTTGATTCTGGTCAAGGGCATGTACTTTGGCACCTGATCGATGTTTCTCTCTCATCAATGTTCCTAACTCTCTATCCCTCTCCCTTCCTCTCTGTAAAAAGTCAAATTAGAATCATTACAATAAATCAAATTTTAAAAAAGAAATTAGAACCATCTGGAGACCTGGTTAAAACCCCAATTTCTGGGCCCTGATTCAGTAGGTCAAGGGTGGGGCCTGAGAATTTGCAGTCCTACCACATTCTTAGGTGATATTACTGGTCTGGGAACCACACCCTGAGATGAGCAATTCTCCTAGGAGTTTCCACTTTGTCCCTTAGCTCAGACAGTTCCCTCCACCTGCAACTTCTCCCCGTTTGTTTTGGATCAAGTGTCCATTCACATGCCACCAACTCCATCAAGTACTGCAAGACTTGTCCAGCTTGTGTTACTTGCTTTTTCTCTTCTCAACATTACAAGCACTTATTTGCTTTCTTTTGTGCAATTTACCACATTCTACTTTGCACTGAGGTATCTGGAAATGTCTTATTATTAATATGAAGCTACACTTCCTAAGGGCAAGTTCTTTGAATCCTCTATAACACTTGTCAAAGACGGTTGGTACACAGTAGATGTTCTTCAATATTTATTTATTATCCTGAGCTGGTCCATAGCTCCTGTCATCTCTGCCAGTGGATTTTTGTTTCTTTAGACTCCACATGTGTCAAACACAAGGCCCGTGGGCCAAATCCGTCCCGCCAGGCCTTGCAATGTGGCCCGCACCGCGCTGTCGTCACTGCACTTCGCTGCGTTTCCATCACAATGACAGTTTATGACTGTTCAGTAAACCATTCGGCCCGCGATTTAGGCTGGATTTTAGATTTTGGCCCCTTCTCTGATTGAGTTCGACACCCCTACTAGAGCATTTCCAAGTGCTAGTAATGGAAATGAATGATTTATATTTAAAATTGTATATAGATGGAATATATATGCCATTGCCTTGTAAGGAGCTTATGATCCATTTGTTCAGATGAGACATATATAGGTGAAAAGTTAACATTTTTTTGATCCCATAATTCCACAGGTTTGTTTGAGATTTGGGATAGATCCATACAATCGTCAGCAGTATAACCACTTTTAACATTTGCTGTGGATCAGAAAAAGCACAATTCCTGCTTTCATCTAAGCAGAATTTTATTTTTGATAATTTTCTCAAAAATGTTGTTATTTAGAAAATCTGTAAAGAAAACGCAGCAGGGTAACATAAAAATGTTAATGAATGTGTATGTTTTTCTGTGACATACAGAAAAACATATTTTTCCTACCTATTTCTCCCACTCCCCTTAAAGAGGCCTGTAGACCGCCAGTGATTCTGGGAAAGGAGGGTGGGCAGGCAGCAGTCCAACGTGGCCCCAAGGTTCTCAGGCCCCGAACACACCCTCTTTTTCCCAATAGTCCAACACAACACTAATGTAAACACTGCTCTAAAGGCGTTTTGCAGATAGTGAAGTCCCAAGACAGGTGACCTTAAAATAATGGGATTGTCTAATCTAATCACATGAGAGGACGTCAGAGAGACATGTACTAGCTGGTCTAGGAAAAAGCAAACATCCATGTGAACTGCCTACGGGCCCACTTGGCAAGGAACTGTGGGTGACCTCTAGGAGGTAAGAGTAGTCCTTGGCTCATAGCTATAGGGCAATGGGGACTTAGTCCTATGGAATTAAGGAAATGAATGAAGAGAAAAGGAGAGAATGAAAGAAGAGGACACTGAGCCCCAGATAAGCCACAGCCTTCACCAGCACCTTTATTTTACCCTGGTAGGAGCCTGAGCAGAGTCCAGCTCTATGTATCATGCTCTAAGTCTAAAGAGAAAATGAGAAAATACGTTAATTCTTGGTTTTTCAGCTCATAGAAGAAGCCTATCATAAATTATGCAGGGGAATATGTTTATAGCGAGTTTTTTTCCCTATGAGAGAGAGAGAGAGAGAGAGAGAGAGAGAGAGAGAGAGAGAGAGAGAGATTAAAAAACAAAAGTTGCTGATCTGGATAGAAAAGAGGGTTCAGAGAGAAAGGAGTATAGATGTTGCTACTGAGTTGGTGGCAAGGAGGCCTGCACCAGGTGAAGCAGGAGAGAAAAGAGAAAACCTTATTGTGAGGGATCAGTGATCAACATGAGGAACTGCAACATGAAGGTAGATGGTGGCATCAAAGGAACAGTAATAAAATAGTAACAGTTTGAGATTATTGAGTAGGCGGCCAAGGCAATTTCATGGAGTCCTCACACGCCTGGTCCAAGCCAGGGCAACTGCCCATGAGCCCACAAAGACTTGCTACCTGCCAACCGAAGGCTACGTGACAGATGCTGCCTAGGAACCAGGACTCCCCTGGCTTATCTCTTGGCAAAGTCAACTCCTCTGATAAGAAGGCCATCTGGGAGAAAGGGGCGAAGAGAGAGTCCCGGGGGGGGGGGGGGGGGGAGGGGGGGAACTGGGCAATCACTGTTTTTAGTGTGCCTGGTAGGGAGGGACTAGGTTGATTTTGTGAGCATCCAGGGGAAGTGGAACCTGAGAAAGAAGGTCAGTGATTATGAAAGCTGCACAGCCACAAATCACTCTGATTTTCCAGGAAGTAGGACATATTAAAGGGACACGAGGCCAGCATTCAGGGATCTGGATTCCGGTGCTCTTCGTATCTTTGGTTTATTGGGTATAAGGTAGTTTACCACTTCAGGTTTCTGTTTCTTTATCAGTCAAGCCAACAGTTTTGGTTGCCAACTTTCGGGCCTCACGCACCACCAGTGGTCCTTCTGCTCTAACATTTTTTACCTGCCGGTGGAAGGAGCAACAATGTGTTTTAACAGTCTCCCCGCTTGGCGTTTGGAATCCTTAGATGGGCTGGTCTACCAAGAACCAAGAGGATTTTGATCATACCTCACGGAGAGAGAGTACAGCCCGGTCCTCTCATTGCTGTCCCTCAGGAGGTAGCTGCCGTCACATCCATTTGAGAGGAGGAGAGCCTCGGCTGCGTGGCGGGTGAGATTGCCGTGATACCACCTGGGAAGGAGAGGAAGTGCTTTCACTCAGGGCAAACCCAAGGCGACTCTTCTCTCACTGGCTCTTCTGCTCTGAGATTACCTCAGCAACAGTCCCCACGTAGGTAGCCAGGAGACAGGAAAATTCCTGGGTGTGGCTACAGGGGGGAGCAGAGAGGGCTGGTTACTAGCAAAGTGTGAGGGGTTCCATTGTACTCTGAAAATTCATATGTTCAAGACCCAATCCCCAAACCGGAGAATGTGACCTTATTTGGAAATAAGGTATTTAGCAAGTTATGAGATCATTAGCATGGGCCCTATTCAATATGACCAGTGGTGTCCTCTCATAAAAAGGGGACATTTGGACATGTAAATAGTGAGAGTGCCATGTGAATTTGAAGATGACCATCCACAAGTCTAGGAGGGAGGTTTGGAGCATCTTTCCCTCACAACCCTCAGTAGGAACCAACCTCATGGACACCTTGATTTCAGGATTCTAACCTCCAGAACTGTGAGGTGGTACTTTGTCATGGTGGTAGCAAGATAAACATACAAAATTACATTGTAAACAGGAAATATTTTGAAAGTCCCAAGTAAAAAATAATAGTAAGAGTGGGCTTTGGCCAATTTCCTCTTTCGTTTGTTTTCTCTCACAATCTCTCTTGCAAGTGTGGAACCACCTTTTGCAGTGGGAAAGACCATTGGGCTTTTCTACTAGAGTCCATTGTCATGAGTGAAATGAAGTTGAGTATAAGGATTTCAGATGTTTTATTCAAGATGCAAGACCCATCTTCTATTGTTTCTAACTGAAAAATATCTAAAGAGCTAGGAATATCTCAAGGAGATTCAAATTGATCTATGGGTTAAAAATAAAAGTCATTTTAGAAAAGGTAGCATATGTCCATGATAGAAGGAAAAAAAAAATTCTAAATAATTTTCAAAAGAAGACAGTGAAAATAAAGCTTTTTTTTCCTCACCCATAAGCTTCAGTTCCTTTACTAGAGGATACTGATCCTTTGCCCAGAGGACACTGATACTAACCATTTTCCTGTGTTTTCTCCCAAGAGATATCCTTGTACCTAGAGCGGCTATTTTCATTCAGTGTGCAACCAGAATTTTTAAAACATCCAGTACTGACTATTTAGTCAGAGGTACTGACCTCTTTTCTTTTAAATTGTGAAATAAAATAATGACAACAGCCAACACAATAGGCATCTGGTGTGAATGCCCTGTCTTAAACCATAAATATATAGGTCATATAATAAATATAGGTCATATAATACAGTTCCATATTATTGGTCATGTTGCAAAATAAGGTTGCATCTGGTTGGTTAATTCTTTTTATTTTTATTGATTTCAGAGAGGAAGGGAGAGGGAGAGATAGAAACATCAATGATGAGAGAGAATCATTGATCAGCTGCCTCCTGCACACACCCAACTGGGGATCGAGTTCACAGACTTGGCATGTGCCCTGACCAAAAATTAAACCATGACCTCCTGTTTCATAGGTTGACGCTCAACCACTGAGCCACAGTGGCTAGGCTGATTGCTTAATTCTTGGTACCAGAAATCCTTATATACAAGTATAGGCACCTGATTTTTTCAAAATTCACTTGGAACAAAAGGGTAATTACTATTATTATTATTTTGTAAGTCAATCAAAATTATAGCTATTTTTTGTCAGATCAGTAAATATACTTTTTTTAATATATATTTTTTATTGATTTTTTACAGAGAGGAAGGGAGAGAGATAGAGAGCTAGAAACGTCGATGAGAGAAACATCGACCAGCTGCCTCTTGCACACCCCCTACCAGGGATGTGCCCGCAACCAACGTATGTGCCCTTGACCGGAATCAAACCTGGGACCCTTCAGTTCGCAGACCAATGCTCTACCACTGAGCCAAACCAGTTTCAGCAACAAATATACTTTTTGATATACCACAAAATTTTAGTAATTAGTTTAAGTGTGTCATGAGATGAAAAGGTAGAAAATTATTCATTGAGAGGCATTCAAATATGTCCTCTCTCCTAACTCCATGGAAATAGAGCCTTCTAGGCACACTCTTCTGCACCTTGCTCTTATTGCCTTAATGATTTGGTGGAGGCAGTCTGGGTTGGTGATTAAGATGTAGCTTCTGGAGCAGATTATAACTCTTACTAGCTGTACATGTTACATAACTAATCTAAACCTCAGTTTTCTCACCTCTAAAAAAGGATTAATAATAGTCATACCTCACCGAAACCGGTTTGGCTCAGTGGTAGAGCGTTGATCTGCCCACTGAAAGGTCCCAGGTTCAATTCTGGACAAGGGCATGTACATTGGTTGCGGGCACATCCCCGGTAGGGGATGTGCAAGAGGCAGCTGGTCAATGTTTCTCTCTCATCGACGTTTCTAGCTCTCCATCTCTCTCCCTTCCTCTCTGTAAAAAATCAATAAAATATATTAAAAAAAATAGTCATACCTCAATCCCCCTGGCTGGTGAAAGCTCAGTGGTTGGAACCTCAGCTTGTATACAGGATGGTTTCGAGTTTGATTCCTGGTCAAGGGCACCTACCTGGGTTGCTGGTCTGTCCCCATTTCCAGTGAGGGCATGTGCGTAAATGTTTCTCTCTCTCTCTCTCTCTCTCTCTCTCTCTCTCTCTCTCTCTCTCTCTCTCTCTCTCTCTCTCTCTCTCCCCATCCTTCCCTGCTACTCTCTTTAAAATCATTGGAAAAAATATCCTCACTCTTTGGCTGAAGACTTGAAAAAATAATAGTCATACCCTCGTTGGTCATTTGTGAGTATTGCTCACATTAACACACACGAAATGGTCAATACAGCCCTGGCAAACAGCAAAACTTAGTGCATACAGTTGTTAGCATGAAGCCATTGAGATCCACAGAGCCATAACTTGGAATGCATCCTCTATGCTGTAATTTTCTTGTTGCTTAAATGTAATTTTTATCTTTCAATTTATTTCAGACAACAGAAAGCTACGTAACAGGAACAGATGCTACTGAAAGGGACGCATGATCCAGGGCAGGGGAGAGGAAGGGGACAGAGGCAATTACACAAATAATGTCAATATCAGTAAATGAAGTGCTATCAGGGAAGTATGTATAGTGTACAAGAATTTCAAGGAAGAGCCTGATTCTGGGTGAGAGGGATCCTGCTGTCATGAGCCATGCTGGCATCCATTGTAATATCCCATGGCCTGAAATGTTAACTTTATAAGAAAAGCAAAATGTAAGACTGTCTGTGTAGGGAAGTTTCCACATGGATCTCCACGCTATTTTCTAAATCTGTATTTCCTACTGTGTGTTTCTTTAGCACATTTCCTCTTCGGGGCAGAGATGTCTCTATTCTGTACTAGAAATGTGTTTGCTAGCTTAAAGGAATTGCAAGGAAAAAGATTTTATAAGAAAGCCTATTGAATTGTTACCCACAAAGCAACCTCACTCATTCAACCAATTCACTGACAGGCTCAAATCTTCTCATTACAAAATGCTTTCAAAGGACAATTGGAACCTAAAACTAATATAATGCTGTATGTCATTTATACTTTAATTAAGAATAAAAGACAATGGGAGGAATTAAAAGTGAAGTTATGAAAATACTTCAGGTTTGGCTACAACCCAAACTCTAATCTCTACAAGATTCTAAGTTCTTAAATACATTTTGCCAATAATTAAATTTTGAATGAACATTTCAGAATAAGATTTAGATTGAGCTGGTAGATTACATATTTGAAGCAACAGAATTTGATCAACAAAATTCTAAAACAAAGGATTTGAACATTCCTTTGGATGCTTTTCAATGAGATCTGAAGACTGTGTTTAAGCCATTTATGGAATTCTTCTGATAATTAGAGCTTGATGGCAGTTTTGCTAAGAATTTTTTATTCTAATCTTTTAAATAATAATTATTTATCATAAATATATTAAAAATAGGGAGTATAAAGCAAGAAGAATCACAGTGAACATTGCAGTGACAGCTTGTTAAGTAAATCTTGACATCTGTTGGATTTTATGGAGTCCTGGGCCTGCCAGACAGACACCTACATACACTTTCTGATGTCTATGGAGTAGTGAGGATCCTCATTCCCCAAATAGCTCTTTCATTAGTGCCTAAACTTTCTCTTTTAATGGAGTTAAACATCCTACCCCCACCCCCCCCCCAAAAAAAAATTAGGGTGATCATATCTTCCAGGGAAGTAACTATAAATACAAATAATATTACATATCTTTTGTAGAAATATGTCCATTTGTGTTTATGAAGAACTAAATTTGAAAATATAGTAGAATGACATTGGTAGTTTTCTCATTATCAACCTTCTCTACCTTCTCTCAAAATATTTATTTATTAAGTTTTAAATGTGTGCAAAGCATTGGGCAAGGCATTGTACTGCATAGGTCTAAAGGACATAAATGGGAAAGCCTTAGGCTGGGCTTCAAGAAACCATTATTCAAAGCAGGAGCATAAGACAAATACTTTGCAAACTCTATACTAGAGAGTGAAGCACCCACAAGGTTTCAGGAAGAATAACGAAGACCATTCCCTAAGTGAGCCAACACCGAAGTGGCCTTGAAGGACACCACATTATTTTCTAATTGTGTGAAATTTCCTTCTGATTGTAAAACATATGTAGTAAAAATTAAAGTAGATCCACATACAGAATTGCACCCCCACTGAGAAACTGAAGTTGTGTACAGAAGAGTGAAACTTTTCCACACAAGAGGAATGATGTGTTTTAAATTAGGGGTGTCGAACTCAATCAGAGAAGGGGCCAAAATCTAAAATCCAGCCTAAATCCCGGGCTGAATGGTTTACTGAACAGTCATAAACTGTCATTGTGATGGAAACGCAGCGGAGTGCAGTGATGACAGCGTGGTGCGGGCCACATTGCAAGGCCTGGCGGGACGGATTTGGCCCGCGGGCCTTGTGTTCGACACATGTGTTTTAAATAAACAGCGTCAGTACTAATCTCAGAAATGAAAATTAAAACAGCAATGTGCCATTTCTTTATCCACTAGAGTGGCTGAAATGGAGGAGTTTGACAGTGTTAACTGTTAGGGGATTTGGGGACGATGGATAGATTGTACGGTTGGGAGAGGTGTCAGTTGGAGGGGAAGTCAGCACACCTAGTGTGACTGACCAGCAATTCCACTGATCTGGTCTGCCCAGTGGAACCCTCACCCAGCCTCAGAAGGAAAGATGAACAGAAGTTTTTGTTGTGGATGTGTTTGTGAGAGAAAAAGTTGGAGCTGTCGTAAATATCCAGTAACAGTGAGATGACAAAGTTGAGTGGTTATAGGATGAGATTATGTAAAAAGATAACCAAAAGTGTTAACTAGAAAAGGTATGAGAGCATTTTTGATTGTCAAAAGATGAGGGCGGGGAATTGGGTGCTACCAGCACTTGGTGAGGGGGATGCCAGGAATGCTTAACATCTTGCAAAGAATGTTGCAGCCCTGAACAAAGGAAAATTGTCTTGCTCAGAATGACAATTGCACACCCACTGAGAAATACTAAGGGTGTTGTGTACACAAACCCAAATCAAAAGTTGATGCAGTCGGCCTGCGGACTGAGGGTTCCCGGATTTGATTCCAGTCAAGGGCATGTACCTTGGTTTCGGGCACATCCCTAGTGGTGGGTGTGCAGGAAGCAGCTGATTAATGTTTCTCTCTCATCCATGTTTTTAGCTCTCTATCCCTCTCCCTTCCTCTCTGTACAAAATCAATAAAATATATTTTTAAAAAGTTGATAGATCCCAAAACACACTATTCAATTGGAAAAATTAGTGGCAGCCTCAGAATGATATAATTTATTTGTATAAAATCACCCCTTTTCTCTCCAAACTATACACATATGCAAACACATAAAATAAAAGTATATACCCAACTCATAAGTATGTTTTACTCAATGGAAGGAACCAAAACTAAGAGTATTGTTAAAGAAAGGAGACTTTAACTTGATCAACTTTTCCTATTAATAATTTAGTTTGTTCTAATGAAAAAAAATAAAATGGCCCTCTTAGGGTAGTTCAGTAGGTTAGAATGTCGTTCCCATATGCCAATGTCATGGATTTGATCCCTAGTCAGGGCCCATACAAGTATCAACCACTGAATGCATAAATAAGTGGAACAACAGGTCAATGTGTTACTTCTGTCTCTCAAATCAATAAAAAAATAGATTAATATCTTTATTGGGTAACTAAAATTTGAAAATAAGAGACTCAATTTCTTCCTTAATTCAGCCTCCAGGGATAATGTTAACAATTTGTTTTATTTTAAAATTTATTCAACTACTGTTTATTAAATGTTGGAATGGACCCAGCACTTGGATGGAGGGTGGGATGGGGGTGGAGAGGGAAGACCAGAGTGAAGGCCTAGAAGAGAGAGCATGCCAGGTGCGCACAGGATCAGAGCACTGCAGGTGGTGTGAGGGATGCAGAGCAACCAGGAGGAGGCCGATGCTCCTTGGCACTGGATACCGAACAACGTAGCTGCTAATATATGGTCTTTATTTCTAGAGCTTTTTATGGCTTCATAGGCACAACCAACAGCTCATTACATAGAATCCTAACTGGATGGACTTAAATTTCTTGTAATTGGAACTGTGTTTAAAATTTTTTTGTTTGTTTGTTTATTTTCAGGAATAACAGTCAGATTTAAAATTTTAATGATTTTTAGAGAGAGGAAGAGAGAGAGACACACACACACATCAATTGGTTGCCTCCCACATTCATCCTGATCACAGATGGAACCTGCAATCTGAGTGTGGGCCTAGGAATTGAACCCTCCATCTTTTGTTTAAAGGAGATTTCAATCAATTGAGTCACACTGGCCAGGGTGAGTCAGATCTTGAGGGCCTTAAAGATTGTAAAATCTGGAAGTTTCATTAAGATATTTAATATAAAATCATAAGAAAATAATTATTTAGAATGAGAAGTCACACAAAAATACATATAAAAAAAAAGCTGATGAATATCACAAACATCACAAATCTGAGGAAAATAGCTTATTTTTACTGATTTTTTAAAACACATCCCTATGCTTTTTCTCTCTATTTTTGGCTGTATTAGCTTTTATTATTTCTTCGTATAATAATATCTTTAATATAATTTTCTAGACAGAAACTAGAACAGTAATTCGGTGTCCCACTAAGTATAATTTTTAAAATTATTGATAGTGTAGAAAAGTTATGTCAGCTTTAAATGTAATCAAGTTTTTAAGATTGTTGGCAAATTTGGGGACCTCTGTCAAATTTCTCTTAAAGAAAAGCCCAAAGATTCTAGGGCATTTAAAATGCTCATGAGCAGGAACTAATATTAAATACTCCTGCAGTGACAGCATTTATTAACTATATTGCCAGGGTCTACCCTGGGAGGGGCCTGGAGGCTGAAAATTTATGGTCTTCACAGTAAGCTCATCTCTGGTGATTATAAAAGTCATATAAGATTTTTATTTTTTTAATTAAACAATAAAAATATTTAGCTTATTTTAAAAAATCACATATAATCTCCCATTGCAACCAAATTATAACTTGGTTTATAATTCTTTTAATTTTTATACAGGGTGTGAATAAAATCTAAACCCTAACATGACTCTCCCGTCTTTGCTTACATACAGATAATGATGGGGAACTCACTATTTTATATCGAATAGGTAAACTCATTCTATGCTTCCATATTTGATGCCAGGAAACTCTTCCTACATTGAATTGCTCGTTTCCTGATTTCAATGAATGGTCCAAGAGCTATTTTTGGGGTTTTAGACTTAAACTTAAAAATAAATAAATAAATAAATAAGCAAATAGTTAAAAGCATTTAGAATGTATTCTCTTCCTTTTCCATCATCTTCAGCTTCTCCTTTTATGACAGTCTTTCAGTCCCCTTAGTACCCAGAAACCTTATCTCCTTTGACTACTTTGCAAATTCTTATAATCAGCTTAAGGCTGAGGTCTGACGCTAAAAATAAAGCCTCGCAGGTCTCCCTTATTCTACCTGCTGGTACACTTGAAGGAAACCCCAGATTGCGTTACTTTCTTGACAATTGCATCATACTGCTGATTCACACTAAGCATACTGTTGATAACATCTCACAAGTAAGTCATTTTCCTCTGCTACTTCATCAGCACCTAATAACCCCCTGCATTTGAATGCTGATGTCATTAGAATGAAGGGCAAGAAGACACCTTTTTACTACTGGGAAATGCTAAGTGAAAAGGAATGCTAATGAGCCACTAACTTAAACCCTGAACATCTATGCAGTGTCAGTGAGAATTTTGGGGAGAAGAGAAGATGCCTTTGTCTCCAGCCTTACTAGCATGTGACTGCACTCAAGTAGAAACCTCAGCTTTCTCTCATCTGTCAAGGTGACGAAAAAATGCCTCATAAGAAGACCCTCTTTGTTTTCATAGGTTGGAACAGTCTTCTTTTAAACATCCTATCTAATAAAGAGTAATATGCAAATTGACCATCACTCCAACACACAAGATGGCTGCCCCTATGTGGTCAAAGATCCTGTCCCCATGTGGACACAAGATGGCCACCACAAGATGGCCAGCAGGGGAGGGCAGTTTGGAGGGACCAGTCCTGCAATGGAGGGCAGCTGGGGACGATCAAGCCTGCAGGGGAGGACAGTTAGAGGTTATCAGGCTGGCAGAGGTGGGAAGTTGAAGGTGCCCAGGCCTGCAGGGAAGGGCAATTGGGGGGGACACAGGCTTTCAGGGGAGGGCAGTTAGGGATGACCCGGCTGGCAGAGGAGGGCAGTTAGGGGCAAACAGGCTGACAGGGGAGCAGTTAGACATTAATCAGGCTGGCAGAGGAGGGGTTAGGGGTTGATCAGGCTGGCAGGCAGAAGCAGTTAGGGTCAATCAGGAAGGCAGGCAGGGGAGCAGTTGGAAGCCAGCAGTCCTGGATTGTGAGAAGGGCCTAAACTGGTAGTTATATATCCCTCAACGGGTCCCAGATTTGAGAGGGTTCAGGCTGGGTGAGGGACAACTGCCCCTTCCTGTGCACGAATTTCATGCACCGGGCCTCTAGTGTTATATGATTCTTTAACTTTTGCAAGAGAAAATAAGATATAAGAATTGCTAATTATATAACATATTCTGACTATACTAGATGCTGGGAATAGTTTGGAATAAGGTTCATTTTCCTAACACTTAAAACATTTTTTTTCTTTCATTTTCCCTGAGGGGGGGAGGGAGGGCGAGGATTTATAACACAATATTCAAAGAAATGTTATTTTCTACCCTCCACCCCCACCCCATGGCCCATTACTATATCTCAAAGCTGATAGAGGCAACAGAGCAGAGACTCATAAGCTTCAAAGGAATATTTGTACTGGGCTTTTGAGATGATCAAAACCAGCAGTTGACCATGAAGGAAATGGTGGTTTTATCCCTTCCACGATACAGTAACAAATTAGGAAACATCCACCCACTAAAGAATTTTTATAGCTGCCTCTCAGTGAGGTACAGGAAATATCAATACACTCAACCACAGAGTAAAAAGGACAAGCTTGATTCAGAAAACTGGATCCCAAATTCAGCCTCTTCTCTCTTTCCAATGCCCCTTCCTACTAGAACCTTTTGAAAAGTCACCCCAGCATAGTGGAACCGTCATAGATTCTTTTTTTTTTTTAAATATATTTTATTGATTTTCCACAGAGAGGAAGGAAGAGGGATAGAGAGTTAGAAACATCAATGAAAGAGGAACATCAATCAGCTGCCTCCTGCACACTCTCATTGGGAATGTGCCAGAAACCAAGATGTCCTTGACCAGAATCAAACCTGGGACCTTTCAGTCCACAGTCCAATGCTCTATCCACTGAGCCAAACTGGCCAGGACCCATCATAGATTCTTATCCCAGTGGGTTTTACCGTCTTAATTTGCTGATAGAAGCTTATATTGAATTTTGCATTGTCCTTTAAAGGGGAGGATTTTAAACTTTTTTTATTGGCTTGTGATACAAATACATTTTGAGTTTCTCTCTCTCTCTCTCCATATGTATAAACACACATACAGATATACATTATAAGTACACACAAAAAGCCAAAGATATTATAGGAAACAATACTATTCTAGATGCTAGTCACTGTTCTTTCCTCTTGCCATTTCTTTTAACAAATACTGATTGTGGCCCACTCAGCTGACGTTAGGATGCGAATAGGCTGCACCCGGTGCTTGGAAACAGTGGGAAGCCTTGCTGCTCTGCCCTGAGGTCTTGTTAGAAACTCACATTCTCAGGGCCCCTACACCTGCTGAGGTATAACCTGCATTTTTCACAGCCTCATGTGATTGGTATGCAGTTTAGACTTGAAAATCACAGAGGTAAAAGGGCTCTTGGTTCTAAACACTTTAATTCATTTCAATAACTTTGATGGTTTGACTTCACAGTGTGTGGCATCCAAGGAGGAGGACAAAGAGGACAAAGCATAGTGGCATTACAGTGGCAATGGGGAGGAAAAGAGAAGGATTTGCAGGCCAGTGCTATCGGCGAATCCCCAAATAGCTGCCGTCTTAGTGAAATGGACAGTAAATGGTGCAGAAGGGTACCTCACAGGAGACTAGGGGGATCAAGGAAAGCTTCCTGGAGGAGGAAGATCATGAGCTGGAGCTAGTTGAAACAGAGGGCCTATGTGCAAGGGTTGTGCAAAATGAAGCTAGGAAAATGGTGGGCACAGAAAGTGATCTTTCACATTAAAACATGAGCCACATACCCACTTAGATTATATACTTAGTCATGAGAAAATTCCCTAGTGACCCTTGTCCACAGATTATTCATATGTTTAATGACATATTTTCCTCCTTCCAGGCAGAGAGAAGTAATAGAGAACCTAGATTCTGTCCCATTAGAATTGTAATGAGATATACAATTTGAAATGTAAGGACATACATTTCAACCCAGAGCAATGGGTTCAACCCTATTGTGTGAAAGCAGCTAAAATGTCCTGGAATTTAACAGATAATGAAAGCATTCTTTTCTAGAGAATTTCTTCCTTTTCTCCACTTTCAAAATTATTTTCACTTTTCAATGACCCTGACACACTTTCTCAACTCTCTACACCAAAGTTAACAAACTCATAGCAGATGATGCCACGCCCCTTCTCTAAGGCCACAGATAAAGCTCCCCGATCTGTCTTCTTTCTTGCTAAGCCTGTACTTGGCCTCAGAATCCTTCTGAACAAAGTGAAGATTGTTCTCAACTACTAGGTAATCCCACTCTAAGCAATCCCAATGTGAGTCAGTCTTTCCTTCATCCCTGAGTCACTCCATGGAATTGTTTAGTTGCTGATTTCCTTCATGTTCATTTGTTTATTGAGTTGGTACTAACTTCTCTGATATTATAAAAAATAAAGCATTTGGCCCTCTCTGCTATCAGAAATCATGGTTTAGGATAAGGAAATATCTTATTTGGTTCAAGAGCTATCCATGCAGCATGAATAGCTCTTACTATGTCAGAAAAGACGGTGTGGTTCATAGATGAACATTAGCTGCCATAATCACAAGTGTGGGCTTATCTTTCCATTGATCACAGAGGTGGGCCCTGTCCAAGTACAGAGAACCAAGCAAAGGCTTGGCCTAGGAGTTGGAAAGTTCTAATGAGGCTTCAGATAGGCATAGGGTAATTACAGGAGAGGCTGAAAGAAGGACTTGCCACAGTCTTTCCAGTAAGGAGGTTTCTGTGATGAAACCAGCGTGTCTGTGGTTTTCCATGTTGCCATTTTAAATCTGCATGTGCTAATAGCAGAGCGAAATGGTGAGGCCAGCTGCCCCAGCTTTGAGAAGCATACCTGACCTGGTGTCAGAGGCAGAAGTATGTGAGTACCTGGTCAAACAATGAGGTAAAGGCGGGTGGGCCCCACGTTATGTGTTGTTGTTTTGTTTTGGCTCACCTAAGGAGAAACAGGATTCAAAGGAAGGAGATAATTCTGTGGGAGTTGGAGACCCAGATAAACCTGTTCTTGAAGGAGTCTGAGGAATGAGGCAAGAAGTTCTGAAAGATGGAAACACAGAGGTAGAGAGAAAGACAGAGACTTGAAGATTCAGAGACACAGAGTGGCACAAAGACCCAAAGACACACAAGTTAAGAGCTATAGAGATAGAAAGATAGAGACCAAAACTCGGGGACAGAGAAAGGCACACCAGCTCACATAAATAGTGGGAAGCATACAGGTCAGTGATTTAGGAACACAAATATGACCCAAACAGTATTCAAGAGACAAAGGCAGAAGCCAAAGAGGAGGAGGATGTAGACACATAAAGAGTCCAATGCAGAGGTGGATCAACACCCAGGGTTGTCAGAGCCTGGGAGAGACGGAGGGGGGAGTGGGTGGCAAATGGCATCTCACTCTAGCAGAGGCCCATGTATCCAGTCCCCAGGTTGGACTGCACTGTGCAGGCACGGCTACAAGACCAAGAGACCAGGGAATGTTTGTTTGATTTGGAATGGGACCCAAAGCTCCATGACTGACGAGAAAAAACACCTGTGGATAAGAACTTGAGGAGGACTAGCAGGGCTGCACAGAAATCCAAACCAAACCAGAGGATCTCTCAGGAGGCCTCATGTCTGAGTAGAATCAAGCTTGACGCTGCATTTACTCTGGGCACTCTTGCAGCCTGTACCTCATCAAAGGCTGCTTCAGGGCCATTGTTTTGGGGTGGCATTGCCATTGACAAATTTGGGCTGATACAGGAGTCAGAGTAGGCCACTTGTGGGAAGCTATGACTCGAGGAAAGAGCCCCAAACTTTGAGGGATGCAGAGAGATTCCAGATTCCTTGTTTTATTAGTTATGTCCCCTCTAGTTCATTGTTTTATGACTTCCACGGACAAAAAAATCCTATCAGTCCCAAGGGCATTGTGTCCAGGTCCCATGATCCCCCTCCTCCCTGCTATCCTCCCTGTCATCGCCCTCCACCCACTCTAACTTGCATTCTCTAACTGTACAGGCTTGTGCATTCCCTGCTCTCTGTACTATAAACTCTGTGAGGGAGAGCCATTTTTTTCTTTCTTCATTTCAGAATCCCTCACCTGCACTGCCTATGTCATCAACAACAAATGGCTCTATGAACGAATGGGAAAGTGAATACATGAAGCAAAGTGACCCCACTCACCGTGGGACACCTGTGTGAACAGATGTCCACATGTAAGGCGAAGGAAGTCACCACCGCCCATAGAGGAACAGAAAACACAACTGAAGAGGAAATGTGCTGGAGTCAAAGAGAGCAAACTGCACACTAGTTACATATTCTCCTACCACCACGACTCACCTTCCGTTTTCAGACTCCAAGATTACAGAATTGTGCACAGAAGAGGAACAAGCGTTATTGTTTTACTTGCTATCTCAGAACTGTAATACGATTCCTTTAAACTTTAAAGCTTTGACTTCTCTAGACTTTTCTTAGACTTATCAGTTTGTCTAGCGCCCCCGCCTTCCATGAAACCTACACAAACTTCAATAAAGTTTTTTATTAATTAGAATATTAACCTGGTTTTGTCTTGTGCATGTATTACATGGATACTGTGAAAGAAGAATGAATGCCTTTTAGTAATACAATTTGTTGGTTGTAGTGATCACAGAACTTTTGTGTTTCTTTCAGCTCGTGCTAGCACTAATCTATCGTGCTAACATCATAAGAAAGAAGTTTGATAGAAATTAGTTAGTTTCATCAGTGGACAGGCGCATGGACTCTGGGGCAAAAATGAATTGGAAGCTTTTGAGCATGCAAACTTGGGCATGTGATCAAAGCTCTGTCCTTCACTTTCCTCATTTGTAAATAGGAATGACATGTTTAATAGTATCTACCTACAGTGGCGTGTGACTTTAGTGTTACATGCCAAGGGCTTAAAATAGTGGCTGGCATATAGTGAGCACCCAGTGATTATTAATTGCCATGACTAGAACATATACCTTCTAGCATCAGTGGAAAGAGCATCAGTTTTGGGGTACTCTCCTAGGTGTATCACTCAGCTGCATCACTATGAGGTCGGTGACCTGGACGGTTCACTGAACTAAACTGAAGTCAGCCTCTGCATCTATGAAATGGGTATAATTATACACATTGAAAGTGTTATTGTGAAGGCTAAATGACATTGTGGATGGGAATGTCACGGAGTAGGAGATCAGTGAAGAATGACTATTGCAACAAGAGAGAATCTTAGCTCGGATTCAGGACCCAGATTCACTGGATGTCAGGCAGCTGATTTCTCTGCTAACGAGTCTCTGCATGTAGAGTTGGCATACCAATACCTATTAAAGACCAGCGCTACTGTGTGCTAAAAGTCTGCTTCATAATAAGAACTCCTTGGGGTTATTATCAGTTATTTCTTGAGTGAGATAACCACCGCCTGAGGGCCAGCTCCTGCCAGAGCACATGTTTTTGTGTGGACTGAAAGCCATTATCTTGTTTTTAAGTGGTGGGTGCGGGGAAGGAGAAAACATATTTTGTGACTCATAAAATTATATAAAATTCAAATTTCAGTGTCCAATAACAACATTTTGCTTGAGCACCATCATGGTCATTGTTCCTGTTGTCTCTGGCTGTTCTCCCACCACAGTGGCAGATACGAAATGTTTTGGCGGAGATCACAAGCCTGCAAAGCCTAAAATATTTATGACCTGGCTCTTTACAAAAATCGCTCGCTGATCCCTGATCTGTTCTAACCTTCTCTTTTATGTGAAGGTTACGGGGTAGAGAAATGAGAGACATTTCAATTTATTTACTTAAATATCCAGAGCTCAGAGTCTAGTTTCTTGACACAGGCCAACACAGCCAAACGCTGACACTTTCTTATAAAAAAAAGTATCTGGAAAAGTATGGAGAAAAGAGGATAGTTACTGTATTTCTCAAATACAATACAAAGAGTGATTGTATTTGTCAGACATATTAAGATATGTCAGACAAAATAATCTGAATATGTAATTTAAAAATATCCTAAATTATTTGCATTTCTCAGTATCCCTTTTGTGACTGTAGTGACCCCTTTATAAACTATACAACTATATTATTTCTCCATTATCTCAAACTTTGTTATAGTCAGAGACTTTCTGGAATGTTAAGTTATTCCCTTATGAACAATTCCACACTGACTTGTTATTTAGGTGCTGTCTCTGCTATTCATCACTTGTGTCATCTCCCCATCGCTTCATTTTTGAAAGCAGCATACAGTACAGCCTGACTGTGCCCAGCTCAACTCTTCCTTCTCCTGGGCCATTCTCCACCCCCTTACCCCTTACTGCTATGCACCCTCCCACAACCCCATCTGCCAAGGTGTCAGTGAAGCTGAGCAACAACTGCAGATAGATTTATTTACTTATTTATTTATTGCTGCTGGACACATTGATACCTTTAAGATGAAAGGAAATAAATGTTTTTCATTTATGGATTTCTATAAATGAGACACAGAAATCTATCTGAGTTACCTAAGTACTTTAGAATGAATAAGACTGTACTCTGAGCAGGTCATGTGTGTCCTAGACAGGCAGGTGAGGGATTGGCTGCAGGCCAGGGCTTAATTTGCAGAGGTTACATATTCTATAGTTTGAAGAAAACTAGGGGCCAAAAGACAAAAACATCTGCTATCTCTTTGATTTAATTATTACTGGAGGAAATATATTTGACCAGTTATCTGTCTGTAGCTATCAAAAATAGGAATGTAAAAATCTACCTATCTAATCAAACAACCTATTAAAATTAAGTCATTAAAACTATCTATTTTTACCTTTCAAGTACATTAAATCATTTTTGTTTTTATGGAGCTTTAAAAAATCTAAATTAACCAGAAATTTTGGTATAGGGATAGGTCATACCTAACTCAATGGTTGGGGAACAAAGCTTCATTTATATTCAGAATTCTGCTGAAGGCAATGAGTCATTTTCAAGTCTTCTCAAATGTTATTATCTAAAAAAGATGTATCAGTGATGTCCTTGAGGGGCAAGTACTGGCTCAAGTCAAATAGTAAATTTTCAGCAATTTTGCAAGCTAGTTGTTAAATCCTTGGTGGGTTGACATGGTTCGAAGTAGGAGTATTTGTATCAGGGAAATAGGCAGACTCTGGAAATCAGTACTACTCCTTGTCTATGTGGTTTTTCAGCACACCATTGAGTACATTTAAATCAACCATGCTCCTCAGAGTTCTCATCAGGGAGATGAAACTGTTCTAAAACTGATTTATAGTGATGGTTGTATTCTCTCTAAAATCACTAAAAATTATTGAGATGTATACACTTGAAATGAGAGTGTTTTAAAGTCTCTAAAATATGCCTCACTAAAATTGTTCAACAGAATGCTACCAATCAACAAACAAAATGTCAACATGTATAGTTGGCTACAAGATCCAGTTACATACCCAATAAATGAAAAATAAAGCCACATTTACTCAGCACTTCTGATGGGTTTATATTCTGTCCAGTGACTCCCAACTTTGTCTCACTCTGGAATCACTTGCAAAGTTTAATAAGAAAATGTTAACTCCCAAGATGTTGGTGTCTTTTGTTTGGTCTGTGGCCTGAGCAGAAATTTTAAAAACTTAGGTGATTCCAGTGTGCGGCCAAGGTTGAGAACCACAACTATAGAGCAATTTCCCCAGATAAGTGTAGCTTGCCTGTTGTTACAGAAACCACCCTCAAATGCTTATTAAGTTCCCAGGTGTTCTGAAATAGAGCGGTCTGGACATAAATGCCCATTTGGGGGTTGAGAAACAAGGTTGCATTGAACATGTACTTTTTGCACATGGAGGGAAGAAACAGATCTGTTTCCTTGTGGGTTTCTTATGTAGTTGCTGCCTGCCACAGGCATTATGACGGGGAGAAGGGACATCATCTAGCTCACCTTGTCATCTAAATGAGTGCCAATGAACTCAAACACAGAGTCTAAACTCAGGGATTATTGAATTAAAGGACCAGAGTTGAATATCTCCTTTGGGTCTCTTCTCTTTGGGAATACTGATCATGGGCTGGGATTATACAATAGATAAGGAAGCATGCACTAAAAAATTATCCTATATAATAATAGCCTAATATGCAAATTGACCAAATGGCAGAACCACCTGTTGTGCATTGACCACCAGAGGGCAAATGTTCAACGCAGGAGCTGCCCGCAAACCTGCAGGCTCAGGCTGGCCAAGGAGGGTGCCAGCGAAAGACCCTGATCTCCCCACTGATCACCCCACAGATCGGCCCTGATCGCCAGCCAAGCCTAGGGACTCTACCCATGCAGGAATTTCATGCACCAGGCTTCCAGTAGTTTAATAATTTAATAAGGCTACAAGTGAGAGCCCAAGCATCCACCTTTAGTGTCTGCACTTATGACACCCATTATGCATGCTCAGGGGCATTTTACCTTTTCTCTTTGGGGGAAATCTAGAAGGCTGGTGATGTCTTGGAACTCTGAATTCTCAAGGAAGAGTTTACTCTAGGAAAATTTTAACTATTATATCTGATTTACCTTCTGAAGTTAGAATTCAATTCTGAGATCTCAAATTTAAAATCTATAGACAGGACCTACTGAGAACTTTTACAACCATGCAGCACCAAAGACACAATCTCTGCTTTCTTAATGCAGATAGAATAGACTCCTGTTTCAGTGTTTCCTGTTAAGAACATTGACTTTGGAAAGTTGGAATCCCAGCTTCGCCAGTTAGTTGATGTGTGATAAAGGCAAGTTATTCAACCCTTTGTGCTCATTTTCTTCCTTTGTAAGATGGAGATGATAACAGTTCCTATGTCATTGGCCTGCTGTGAAGATTTGAGCTGCTTGTTCAGACATAAGGTGCAGGTCATGCCTCTCAAGAAGCACAGGTGTCGAAACCAGCCTCATCAGGTTCTTCCTGGTACTTTAGGATAAAGGTTGAGAGTCTCTAGGAAATCCCCTCCCTATTCCTCTCAGGTGTAATGTTTGTTTCTCTAATTAAATATCCTGATGAGTTGTCTCATCTGGTCTCTACTTAAAGACAGAACTATTACAACTCCACCCATTTTTGGAACTCACTACCTGCTTGAGGCAGAAATTGTATCCTCTTTCTGAGTTGCTAGATATAAAAGGCTCTCGGTTGCCCCTGCAGTATGCACACAGACAAGAGCTCACAAATGCAGTGTCAGGAGAAAGAAAGGGGCATGCGGACATCGCCGTAGACACTTCCTTCTTTCTCTTGAAAAAGTCCCTCTCCTGTTACAATATGAGTGTGGGCTTTCTGTTTATCTTACCTGCAACAGCTTAGAGTTCAACAAGTTTAACAGACGTTTATTTATAAACCAAATCGATAATCAAGGAAGCCAAGCAACATCAACTCACACATCCCAGTTCTAGCCCCGCTCTCCAGGAATGCCCAGTATTTAACTTTTGTCTCCGTTTCTGCATCCACCTGCTTTCACATCAGGGAAAAATAATATGTGCTTTTACTGTGCCATTAGCCCCAAGCAGGAAGACACCAAGCAGACACATGAGTGAAGTGGAGGGGACAGAAGAGTGGGTGGCAGAGTGCTAGAGACCATCATTCCTCCAAGGGAGTCTTAGGGTGCGAGCGGAGGGTCAATGCTCACCCAAGAAGCGCTTTGAAAAGCGGATCTGCTCTCTTACCCCAAGTCCTGCAGCAGCTCAGCCTCTCCATCGGGTGTGCTCCACAGATTGGAAGGATCCTGGGTGCTCATCTTTCCTTCTAGACGCTCTGCTCTGCCCATTCACGCTCCTCACGTCCAGCCTCTGGCAGGTGCTATGAGGGAAGAGGCTGAGAAAGGAGCACTGCTGCTCCTCACACTCTCCTCCTCTTTGAGAGAAGCCAGCTGTGAGTCTCCTCCACCAGCAAGGAAGTGAAACTTGCTTACTCCTCCCACTGACACTCACCACCCCAGCCCCCAGGCACTCGCCGGAGTGTTCAAATAAGTCAGGAAGCATGCAAACTTAGCTCCTATCTCTAAGGGCATCCACACGGATCACGCCACCTGTAGTTTCTGTCAAAGGAAATAAACATGACAGCACTCCGACCAGGGCTGCAACACTTCATTCAAGCGCCTCTCCTGAGGCCAGACCATGGTTTTCCCCCCAGTGCTGTCAGCCTCCGGCTGGCAGAGGGCGGTGCACGCACTCATCCACCCCACCTTCTGCCTCACCCATGAACACCCAGGAAGCTTCTATTTCGGGAAGGTCATTAGCGCGGGTACACAAATCAGAGTCAAATCTCTGACTTCCATCCTGAAGCCTGGTTGTTCGCACGTTATCCATATTGCTGCCTCAGTTATCCAAGTTTCCAACATACGCTTGACTTTTAGGTAGGCATGATTCAGAGACATGTATTGTTTTCTCCGTGGGAGAAAAATAAGGGGAGAAGAAGGTACGCAGGAAAAGGAGGATGGGGCCAGCCTGCTGCCAACTACTGAGGCGTGTTAGGAAACCCCCCCCCCCCCAATCCTACCCTCACCCCCACCCCGCCACTTCCGTCACGGGGCATACAGCTGGTGTTGCTTGTGTGGTTTTGTGTCCAGACTCATGGGTAGAACATTCCATCTGCCTGAGAGTCCTAAAGGGAAACTGTAGGAACTCTGAATCCTGGAGAGCTGGACAAAGTGTGTGCTTCCTGCCTTCTCTGTGTATGTGCTGCAGGAGAGAACGTGTTTCTGGTCTCTCTCTCTCTCTCTCTCTCTCTCTCTCTCTGTCTGTCTAGTCACACCCTGACTCACTCAGGGTTCACCAGAGGGCTCTATAACTTGTTTCTCATCAGCGAGAAGCTGTCCGAGGACCAGCACCATTGGCAGCTTATCGGAATGCAGAATTTCGGATTCATACCAGCCCTTCTGAACCTGCATTTGCATTGGCACCAGATCCCCAAAGCGACTCCCTGCACATTAACGTGCAAGGAGACCACTCTGTAGGATACAAAGGCCGCAGAGCGTTCTAAAGGAGAGGCTGATGGGGGCCTGTGTTACAGGATCCCAGGGCAGGAGGAATAAGAAAACTGAGGTAGGAAAGTTAATGCCAGACAGTGTGGGCAATTTGCAGTCAGCTTGTAACTAACCAGCCATTACTCCCCCCAGCCAGGGACACTTGAGAGCAAATGGTAAAACACTTCCCCAAGATGAGAATGCAGAGAGGGACAGGGAGAGGAGAAAGGGAAAAAGGACAGTTTTACTCCCTAAGCAGAGAAGCCAGCAGTTTCAAGGCTTGACAAGATCAAGTTGCCAGTTGCTTCTCAAGAATTCTGGGAAGGCCACGACAAAGTATAAAATAAAAAAAAAATAAAAAAATAAAAAAATAAAAAGTGACCTTGAGGATTCATCTGTACCTAAATATTCAGCAAAGGAATCTTGAAATCTATAGCCAAGAGGGTAAATAAAGCTTCGGGCCCCACCCAGCTCTCTCTTCAGAGTAGCTGAGAGTCTGCACTTCACAAGCCAGATGTATACGTTTCTTTGCTTTGCTTTTCAATAAGGTATATGCTTTAATAAGTTGTCTTTTCACAAAGCAATCAAGGTCTCTCGTATCAATTCCTTTATATGAGAAGACAAGGATGGAGGTTGGGGACAGCCTTCTCCCACGGAATCGAGTGCTGTCTGGTAACTCCTCTCTGCCTTTGGTGAGAGGTGCCTCTAACAGCTATCCTTCTGGGTGTCTGACATTTGTGAGGCCCTAGATCCCTCTGATTGCCAGAAATTCCTGCGTGTCTGGAGACACCCTGGGGGGGATGAGGCTCTGATAACACATGCTGATTGTACATGCGCGTTTAAAATTTTTTCAGCTACTGTTTGTTCAGAGAGGAGTGTAGGATCCTTGTGTAGCAGCGGCCAGTCCTGGCCAGGGAGGTACAGAATGTGCCTGCAGCAGAGACAGCGGACCAGCCAGCAGCAGATTTCCTGTACTATTTCTACAGCCCTTTGTTTGGTGTTTTAGTATCGATTTTGTTCCTGTTTTAGCAAATTCTGTGTTTTTCTTTTTTTAGCCTTTTTTCTCTTCTTCTTTTCAGAAAAGTATTGAATAGCAGAGTTTACGCAGCCGAGCCTCCTGTATTCAGTCTTCCTGCCACTCTCCCTTTCTCGTTTTGCTATCCCATCTGTTGTCCTCCCCTGTGACCGCATTGTTTCATTGTGTCACTTATTTTCCCAGGATCCCTCTCTTCCCCACCGACCCCCTGCTCCGAGAAATACGTGTTCAGCATTGTGGTGGGACCAGCTGCTGCGCCATTACTAGGTGGTTTCAACAGAATTACTGGATGTTCATAAAACCACCTGGTATTATATCGGGCCTAGTAATAATTAATGTCGTTTTTAAACATTCGTTTAAAATCTTGCTTGGCGTTGACTTGTATTGACATAACCTTCAAACACGTGGTATCTACAGAACGTGTGAAGTGCGATTAACAAGTTTTGCTTGAAAAAGTTTGTGTTTGGTTTGGTTTTTGTTGCAAAACTAGGGCTAAGAAGGTGGCGGATGAAGAGCATATTCGGCACTGCATGCTTTACGAGTTCCAATTAGGAAGAAAAGCAAGTGAGGCTGCAAAAAACATCTGTAGTGCTCTTGGTCAAGATGCAGTTAGCGCCAGAAAATGCCAGCGTTGGTTTGAGAAATTTCGCAAGGGAAATTTTTCATTAGATGACAAGAGTGGTCGAGGCCGTGTGTCCAATTTTGATCAAGAAGCTCTTCAAGCTCTTTTGGTGCAAAATCCTCAAATTACCCAACAAGAGCTTGCGACAACTTTAAATTGTTCACAAAAAACAATTTCCAATCAATTGCGTGCACTTGGCAAAGTCCAAAAGTTTGGAAAATGGGTTCCTCATGAGTTGACCGACAACAACCGACAATCAGAGTCACAATTTGCAGTTCGCTCCTCTCTCGTCAAAACCGTTTGCCGTTTTTAGAGCAAATTGTTACCAGAGATGAACAATGGGTGCTGTATGTTAATTTGAAAAGGCGGCTTCAATGGTTGGACAAAAATGAGGCTCTGCAGCCCACGCCAAAACCTGACTTGCATGCGAAAAAAGTGATGTTGTGTGTTTGGTGGAATTTTAAAGGAATTCTTCATTATGAACTTTTACCATCTAACCAAACCATTACAAGTGCAGTGTATAGTGCCCAATTGGAAAGGTTAGCCCAAGCTTTAAGAGAAAAAGAACCCGCGCTGATTAATCGGAAGGGCGTAATTCTTCACCACGATAACGCACGACCACATACTGCAAGAATCACTGCTGAAAAACTGCGCCAGTTGGAATGGGAAGTTCTCCCTCAACCTGCATATTCTCCTGATATTGCCCCTTCCGATTACCATTTGTTTCGTTCTTTGCAAAACTTTCTTCTTGGAAAAAAATTTAATAATGAAGAATGCCTCAAAAATGCATTGACCGAATTTTTTGCATCAAAATCACAAGAATTTTACAACAGAGGGATTAAAATGCTTCCTGAGCGTTGGGCACAAGTAGTAGAAAACAACGGCAACTATATTGTTGATTAAATTTTGTTGTATTGTTTAAATAAATTCGATTTAAAAAAGTATTAGAAAACGACATTAATTATTACTAGACCTAATATTTTACATTAGACTGTTGTTTCTAAACAAGCTCAAGCATATTTTTAAAAACCACATAATTCACTTCTTTTTTATTTTGATAATCACTTCAGTGATGCTGGTTCATAGTGCCTAATTTTTCCCATACCAATATTGGACACAGAAACAGACACGAACAATCTATCTTGTTTTAACAATTTTGCATCTTCAAGCCTCAGTAAAATTGTACACTGCTTCTTATAATGGTTTTCTGGCTCCCCTCGACCCTGGGTTGTGGCCTTCATCTGTACCTGCTTGTGCTCTGACCAGGAATAGAACCAGCAGCCTTCGGTGCACGAAATGATGCCCAACCAACTGAGCTACAACGACCAGGGTCAGAACATAACCTTTATGTTCAAGCCCATCTGTGGCAGCCACGGCAGCCAGCTGCACAAACTCTCTTCTGGAAAGAACATGGTGTGAGGGTGTGGCAATAAGGGAACTAATGCTGGACTGTTCTTGCCCAATGTCAGCTTCTCTCGTGGACAGTTTTTGTTCTGGGACTGCCTGTTGGCCTGATGGAGAATTTCTTAGAACTGAGGCTCTTTGTACCCCACCCCCCTTCCTCCTCTTTCTCTCCCTTCACAGGTGTCAGCAAGTACTGTGTTGAAAACCCACCCTCCCTGCACCCAAATTCATGTCCACCTAGAACCTCAGAATGCAATTTTACTTGGAAATAGATTCTTTACAGATATAATTAGTTAAGGTGAGGCCATACTGGATTAGGGTGGTCCTTAATACCAGTGACTAGTATCCTCACAAGAAGGTCTTTAGAAAACAGAGGAAGACGGTGGTATGAAGACAGTGGCAAAGATTGAAGTGATGTATCTACCCACCAAGGAAAACAAAGGGCTGCCAGGAGAGGGGACAAATTCTTCCACAGAGCCTCCAGAAGAAACCAATGCTGCAGACATCTCGATTTCAGATTTTCAACCTCCCAAATGGGGGGAGAATGGATTTCGATTGTTTGTGGCTACCCACTGTGCTGTGGCAGATCTAGAACACAGCTCCACATTGTGGTCTGAGGTTCTCCAGGTCTTCTGTTCGCCTCCCCCTCTTCATCCTTCACAGGCATTCCCACCTAAGGCATGACCTGCATGTCTAGTTCCATCTCGGCATCTCGTTTCTATCTAGAAACTCAAACAGACACAATGACCAAAATAAAAAGTTAGCTCAATTTTCATCTTTCTACCAAAATCTTCAGACAAGGGTCTTTACCATCGATTAAACAAGAACTGTCAAGCTGCTACTATTGACTCACTCCCAAGGTATTGTGCTGAGTGGAAGGGGTACAAAAACGAA